AACAGTATGGCTTCAAGATATTTTGTGAAGCATCAGGGGGAGCGTACTATTAATAAAGATCTTCACACACTGTACTCTTTTTCCTTCATCCAGGTTTTTATCCTACTGGATTTCTCCTGGCAAGGTTTTAACGAGGCAGTGTCGCATGAATGTGGGTGTTATATACACCGAATTTTATGTTACACATGGTTGTGTACTCTTTTCCCTTCTACCAATTTTTGTCCCACTGGGTTTTACTGGTGTTTGTGCCTAATAAATCACGATCATAAACTAACTGAAGGGACTTCCTCTCGGCCCTAACACCTACCATTTCGTTAGGCATTTCGCCTTCCTGAAAACAAAAGAAAAGCTGCAAAGGCAGAATCCTCTCGGCCTCACGACCGCGGTATTATAGGCCGAAGTCGAAGGCCGTAAAAAGCACGGCTGAAGATACTGTGGTTAAATCGCCATGTGGCCTCAGGGTCCCACGCCCCATTTAATGAAGTAATGCCTCTGACTATCGCAGCAAACCCACTAGTCGCAAGAAGCATTTAATGCACGAGGGAAGAAGGGAAGTGACTGAAGTCATGATTTGGTGATGGAAATCAGAGTGGTTAGGCGCAAAAATTCTCACAAGTATTCTTACAACTTAAGGTCAGATCACCAACCACTAGACCAGGGCATTAAATGCGTTCCCATGGCCAAGGGGGCAGAACCCATGATCAGGGCGGTGGCCGAGATTTACCGGGATTTATGGGGGTCACACCACCATGCTTCACGATCCCAAATGCCGACTTGACTACCTACTTGCCCCAATCAAGCTCCACCACGCAGATCTTTTCAACCTCGATTGTCCCTCCAGGACTCCCCCTATAAATACTAAGCTCAAAACTACATTCAAGGGGTTCAAACACCAAACCAAAAGCCTCCCACGGAGCAAATTATATTTTCCTGTAATGCACTTTCAATACCTTTATTTGCTTTCTTAGGAGTAGTGGTAGATTGTAAGGAAAATTCATTCATCAATATATCATACGACCCTTGTTTTTCAAGGCGCCAGAGCACCATCTATGTTATCATCTCATTCACCCCATATATCATACGACCGTCGCTCTCTGAGCAACACGCCAGAGCACCGCCTAAAACCCGCCACCGACACCACCACTAAACGGCCCTGTAGCTTAGGTCATGAACCTGCCAGCCGAGATCAGTTCCTCTCTGGGCCACAATCGTTTTGATTAGGAGTCGAACTCAAACACAGCACGCATCATTTTAGGGGCAGGGAAAAGCAGCTTCCAGCAACAAGTGCTGGCCCGGGCAGTGTGGGGTCCACTTGCCTGGGCTGGCCCGAAGGCGGAGGCAGCCCGAGAGTGCGAGCTGACGTCATCGCTGATGCCAGCGTGACGTCAGCACGCGGTTGTAAATTTTTTTTACCGTTGGCGCGTGCATTGCACGCGCCAACGTTAAAAAAAATTCAAAATCGCGCGTCAGCTTTTGCGCCCAACGGTAACGTGCGACGTGGCAGCCTCTCGTCCTTCCGATTTCGCCTTGTCAGCCAATCCGACGGCCTGGAATTTTTCCAGGCAAAAAATGATGAAAAAAAATCGTAAAAATTTTAAAAAAATATCCCAAAAAATACTGACTTTTTTTCTATAAATACCAACACCTACTCTTCAGTTTTAACAACAAATTCTCATACATCTTCTCCTTCTCCAACTATTTTTCACTTTCTATTTAATATTTTCTTCACTTTTTACTCTAAATTGTTTTCATTTTTAAGTATAATTTTTCTCTATCATTATGGCTTTTTCTCAAGAAACCGGAGGGGCATGGAGCGTCATGGAAGATGTCTTGTTGTGTGAGTGTTGGATCCAAATTAGTCATGATCCCATATCGGGTAATGAGATGAAATTCAGTCAAATGTGGAAAAAAATTCTTCACGAATTTGTTGAAAGATCGGGTTCCACCCGTACGGAAAGCGCATTGTCAAGTCGGTGGAAACTTCTCAACAAAGAGTTGGGGAAATGGAGAGATGCCCTCACAAAAGCGATGAATAACCATGCAAGCGGGGAAAATCTAAGCGATGAGGTAATTACTTGTAATTTTCATTTTATTAATTTTAATGTCCTATTAATTTTAATTTTAATGTTTCTTGCAATTGGTATATTTTGTTAATATTTCTTGTATTTCCATATGTATTTAAATGTTTCTTGCATTCTTTATATTTTGTTTTTATTTCTTGTATTTCTAATATTTATATAAATGGTTGTTGCATTCTCTATATGTTTTTAATATTTCTTGTATTTCCATATTTATTTGAATGTTTCTTGCAATTTTTATATTTTTTTTATATTTCTTGTATTTCTAATATTTATTTGAATGTTTCTTGCATTCTTTATATGTTGTTAATATTTCTTGGATTTTCATTCATATGTTTATCTTTTTTGCATTACCAATTTTTTTTTAAGTTCCTTGCTTATTCAATTTTTTTTTATATAGATTGTGCAAGCTCAAATGTTCTATGGTGCTACTGGACTAGGGAAAAAAAGTTTCACCCATACCCAATGTTGGGAGGTGGTGAAGCATTGTAAAAGATTTAGCATTATTCCAATAGCTCCAACGGTGGTGTTAAACGAGACGCCACTTCATGATTCACAAGCTTCGGATTCGCCTATGGAATCCCCTATGAGTGAAGACTTACCCATTCAAAAGGAGCCGAGGCCTATGGGGAGGAAGGCGGCAAAGGCAAAGAGAGGAGTTAATTCTACGAGTAATACCTCTAAATTTTTGGAGGAAATTGCAAGGCAAAGCGCCTTGAGAATTGAAATAGACAAGAAAGTCCAAGAAGATGATAGGGCAATGGCAATAGAATTTGCTAAAGAAAGGGAGTATGTACGCAAAGAAAGGGAGTATCGACGCAAAGAAAATGAAGAAAGGAAGGATCGAGAAACTATGGCCATGGATACAAGCCACATGTCTCCTGAAACAAAACAATATTGGAAGCTAGAACGAAAGGCTATTATGAGACGAAAACTTTTTCGTGATGATGGACCTAGCAATACGGATTGGTTAAATGATGAAAACCCTTAAGTTTGTTTGCTTGCCTTTTCATTTCATTGTATTTTAATGATTTGTTTTAAAAATTAGTTGGAATTCATGTATTTTATTGTATTAGTAGTATTGGTTTTCTTCGAGTTACCAAAGAAACTATTAAATAAAATTCCTTTTTATTCAAAACATTCAATTTATAAAAAAACTAACCACAACCAAAGCATTAAATTTGAAAATCTGAATTTTGAAACCGAAAATCTTATCTGAAAATCTTATCCGAATATTTTATCAGAAAATCTCATCCGAATATATTGTCCAAATTAATTGTTTAGGTAAACAAATTTGGGAAAAAAACAAAAAATTGAATAGTACCCCCCCTTACCATGGCAACTGCTGGAAGTGGAACTTACTTTTTGCAAGGGCAGACACTATTCCTATGAATAGTGTCAGCCCCCCCCCCCCCCCCCTGCCATGGCAAGATTCCAACTGTTGGAAGTGCTCTTAACCATCTTCTACCCAAACCTCATCACCATCCCAATGCACGGTAGACCGTGCTGGCATGCCCGCGCACAACCGCACCACATCCAAAAGAAGGACGTCACGTGTTAACGCACATCCCCTCGGCCCGGAGCACCAGGCCGTGAGATTTGCGCAACCAACAACAGGCAAGGTTTTTAATGAGGCATGCATATTCCATGCATGGTAGACATCTAAGGAGGAGTGTTGTAAATCCATGTTTTACATGGATAAGTGGATGTCACCATCATATCTAATACCTAATAAGTGACTCACCCAACCATGTATCACCAATGATGTATATGACCACTCTACCAAATATGGGACTCACCAATGATGTATATGACCACTTATGGTAGTACACTATGTGTTTTTTATGCCTATAAATAAGCACCAAAGGTGAATGAAAAACACACAAGACTAGATGAGTAGGAACTCATAGTTGAGCTCTTGAGAATTGTTCTTCCATAATTATTTTCTCTTCTTCCCAATTAGTCTAAAAAAATCCTCTTAATTATATAACAACTAGGTATACATAAGAATTTAATTGGAGGCGCTCTAAGTTTGGAGCCCCTAGGTAGGGCCTGGCGTGCTTTGTGCTTAGGGTCTCTCTCCTGGGAAAAGGGTCGCTTGCTCACATAAGCAAGTTGATGGGGGAAAGACTTTCATGCATCAGGGATAACACGTTTTGCTATTCTCAGCCAATAACACAATGACACGTGGGATAACTTTTCTATGTGTCATTGTGTTATTAGTTAGGGATAGTAAAACAATACTATTCCCATTACAAGTAAGTTTTAATAGTGATGGGGGAAGGGATTGGGTAAAGAGAGAGAAGACAAAAAAAAATTTAATATAATTTATGTTAAATTTATTATTATTATTTTTTTACTCGTGGCACTTATGTAGCATCTATCTCACTAAAAAGTGAATCTCATTCATATCATGTCAGTGTCTTTAACAAATTATTTAACATATTTAATGACTGAACCCAAAGTAAAATGCAAAACATTGGTTAATAAGGTGTCACTTTAACTTCTACCAGGCAAAGTGGGATTTAATCAAAGTTTTAGAAGACAACAAAATTAAGTCTAATATATGTAAGAGACAACATATTTATATGCAATATTGCATTTCATCCATACCATTGAACGATTTGTTGTGTTCATTATTTACATTTACAATCACAATATCGCTCTTTTGATGCTTCAAAGTTCATGCTTACAGTTATTTCGATTCACTGTATACTGCAATAGAATACAGCAATGTTGCTGACATAAGATCTATCAACTTGTACATTGCAAGCACAAAATAAGAGGGGGGGAAAAAAATAAAAAATCCACCCTTCTGACTTCCGAGTCTTCTCATCCATTCTGGAGAATTAATTACAATTAAGAGAACCCTTGAAGAACAAGGAACTTAGATGCATGTAATGTAAAATTTGTAGACTTAATTTAGGCTTTAATGCGCCTCATTAATGCAAGATAAGCTAATAATCTATATGCAAAAAACATAAACAACAAGACACAAACGCTCACCACAGGGCTAATTTGCCCTGCAACATCCTGTTCAACAAACTTGCAGTTTACTTTATGATCACCTGCATGACGACGACGTTGAGATGAGCAGCCCAAGAGGGAAGAGATTTTAGGACCTTCCCCATATTGCACATTGATTAGCAGCCTATAACTATAAAACGTAGTAGAAATATATTTGATCCAAGCCAAACAGGACGGAACCTTATGCACGTAATATCCTCCGGTTAGCACAAAAGCTAGCATCGTCACGGTGGCTACGGTGGAAGCCTGTTTGGCATCCATGATAGCAGCGCCTAAAGCAAGGCCAAGCCCTTGAGACACAAGCACATAGCCGAGTAGAACCAGTAATGTCAAGAGAAAAGCACCGAAATCGGGTTTTAATCCAGCCATCCAGTAAGTGATGGTGAGAAAGATTGTAGGGAGAATGAGCTCCATTGGTAAGTCTCCAACCAATCGAGCCATGAAATATGAAGACAATGTGTACATACCCGAGGCCTGTTCCTTGAGGAAGATGGCGCGTTCTTGCGGGAATGCGAAAACCGAGTTGAAAGAGGGCAGGACACCCCAGAAAATAGAGATGAAGAAGAGAAGCCCTAAACGATCCTGGACATCTAAATAATCAGATTGCCACCACATTAAGCCAGCTAACAAGGCTCCAGCCGCTACTTGGAACACTCTCAGTGAGTTGAAGGCTTCATGCTTTCGTTCCTTGAGGCTTCTTTGCAGCAAAATGTTGAATTGGTTGAACCAAGTGGAAACCCCAGGGATTTTTGTGAGACCAATATTTCTGCGCTCATCTTTGTTACAAGAATGGTTCTCGATGTAGGTATTTTCTTTGGTTGATACAAGAAGGCCATTTCCCAAGCACTCAGCCTTCACCTTGGGAGCTAACAACGTATTGTATGAGGAAACAAGGATTTCTTTCATGTTGGGCGTATCTCTTTCGCTTACACCATTAAGTTGGCAAACTCCTGCATATATACATATAATTCACTGAAAATTAATTAATGCATTACTAATATTACTATATATCTAACTTCATTATATTATTTTATAATAGTGAAACTCCCTTAATAATACTGTACGTACATTTGTGCCTACAAAAAATTGGTCACGGACCATTCACGTGCTATTAACTAATTAGACACGGTATCGGTGGTCAACTAGGTTCGTGTCAATAAGTACTATATTTATCTAAAAAGAGAATGGTTGCTTAGGTACGTACATTCATGCTTAAGAAGATTTTCAATCAAAGAACCTTGAAAAGAAGATACCAAAAATGACACTCGTAATATGATATTATATCCAAAGTAGACATTGGTCCATTGATCGATTAGGACATTGGTACTTAAATACGAAATTAGAAACACTCTTTTTCACCCAAAAAAAACCAGAAATGACAAGGAGATGCACAATAACTAAACAAATATTAATAAGCAGCGGACCGAATTAAGCTGACCGGTGTTGGTGATAAGGTGAGAGGCCACTCATGTTGGTGCTGCCACTAAAAGGAGGGGCCACCACTTTCCAACTTAATTTTTCTCAATATGTTTTTTATTTTATTTAAATTTTCTTTTTAACCTTTTTAGCTTTTTTGTATTTTCAAAAAAAAAGTAAGACTAGGTGATATGAATGCTACAAATTTAACACGTGTTGCTCCTTCATATATCCTAAGTTTAAAATTCGAAGAAAAAGGTAAATGAGAATTCAAAGGCGTGCATACTGAGAAATTAACCTCACCTAATTCCTTATTCTATTTTTAAAAAAGTACGGAAAAGGCATAGACAGTGATCGAGAAAATCCACTTTATTGAAGTGATGATTTGTGGCTAGTGGCCAGATGAATGCACACATGAGGTTGTGGTCAAATATACGTAATGATGTTACAGGATGGCCTATATCCACTATCCAATACCAATGCAATAATGTCAAGTTAAAGATACCTAAGTTATAAAGAACATGTCCTCTATTAAATTTTCTGTTTAGAAAGAAAATAAAAACACCCTTTAAGTTTTTTATACAAAATTATATAATGTACACATAAATTATCGCATTTAAAACGACGTCAATTAGCATGCGTGTAGTACATGGCTAGACGCTAATTAAGATCCCGGAAACTAAAGGGTACATAATTCAAACACTAAAGATTAGGCACTAACAAAATGATAAGAGTTTTGTGAGGATCTCTTAATCGAAGCTTTCTCATAATGTACAAATATACTATTCAATAAAGAGACAATGATGCGATTCGCCAACTTTGAAATGTTTATGCTTTCTTAACCAAATGATGGTTTCTCACGCTCTAAATGCCGTCATCGATTTCTCCACTTCAATCCACAATATATATATATATATATATATATATATATATATTATAGTGTCTACGAATAGATTAAAGGAAAGGTATTTTTAACGGACAAGAAGCCCCTTCAAGTTTGTTTAACCCTCTCTAAAGTTGAGCATGATCTTTTCTGCCTTAAACAAGACTCAAAAAAGGACAAAAAGTCCTATAGCTAGCTAGCTGGTCAAAGAGCAATTGTTCTACAATTGTTTGTGCATTATTTAATTGTAGCTTTACTTTTGTGACAAACACCACCTATGTTCTCTCTAAGCACCAATAACAGCTGCTTTCAATAATACCTCATAAATTGATTAAGAATTGAGTTGCGGATTCATGCATAATGATTCAAGGTTTCAAATAATAAGTTATGTAGAGCTTTGATACTATATTAGACAATTACGTTAAATCTCAACAAGCTACACAGTTAAGAACTAATTCACAATAATACGAGGCAAATAAACCTCTTCCACTTCAATATCCTAGGTTTAAAAAAACTAACCCATACTCCAAAATTTGTTTTTTACTTTTTCAGCAAATATATCCAACAAGATATGATAAAAATATCCATCGCTGTTATAGAATTTTAAATATAAAAAACTCCATCATAGTTCGACAAGATATGATGAATAATTTCGCAAGGGTCTTTCATTTTAAGGAGCAACATAAGATGTCACTACCAATGCATGATCCGCAAACCCCCAATGAATAAAGGTCAACTTAATTGAACAAAATATATATAATTATATTTGCATTATATCATTGAGTAGCTCACATCACACCATGAAGCATTGGGATTGAGTGGACGGTCGAAAGCGGCATAGATAGCCCATAAGATCATTGAATCTCTGTTGAAATTAAGGATATGAGATATAGTGGGCTACATCCACTGTCCATACTATATTATTTTGTTTGCTGACTGCACTCTCAATACCACATATCTTCCTACTAAATTGGGGAAATATTGGAGGTCAAAAATCCGTCAATGGAAACCTTCTTTGGAAATTAATTAAAGGGTTATGTGCTGCACTAAAGGATTTGGAAGCCCCATCTACTAAATTAAAATCCGAAAACCTAATTTTTTTTCCTAATCAAAGAACGAGATACGAGTTCAATTTGAAAACTCTTATAATATTGAGAATAGAAATACCACTATAAACAAAAGAAGACTTCCGATCCCTTGCATGTCTTGTCGATACAAATTACTTGTCTCACAAAATAACCTTTCTTGAAAATATCTAGCTATTGACTTACACCCAATCTTATTAGTATAAGTTAAGACCACAACACAAGTTATGACATGCTAGCCCAAAATTCTAATGTAAGTGGTGAGAATTGAATTGCAAAGGAATATTTACGGGCGCTACTCAAAGTTCAAGGCATTAGGAATTTGGTTATTTTATGTTTTGACATTATTTTAAATAGAGAGAGAGAGAGAGAGAGAGAGAGAGAGAGAGAGAGAGAGAGAGGTAGTGCATGAGTCAATTCAAGGGAAAGATCATCGTTCTATTTAACCAAAAAAGACACGTGGAGAGCACGAAAGCATTATGATAACATATCTGTCTTTTTATTGAAAGGAATGCTACCTTTACAGAATGCCAAGTCATCCTAAAATAACTTTGTTTTTTTCTTCTTCCTTTTTGTAGCTAGCTGTGTTTGGCTAAGTTCATTCTAACGTTTCTTGTGTATCATCAACGAGAAAATTACCAAAAAGGACTTGTGAAGTTGGGGGACACTGATAGTTAATGTACTCTGCCACCATCGATGGAGGACAGAGACTGATAGCCCATGATACATACAACCATGGTCATATGTATATGGATCGCAGTAAATAACAGCTGAAGTATGGACAAGGAATTGCTAGCTAGGTCGATACTTAATTTTGGACATGGATCACCTTAACTGGATTATATGGACCCCACTTTTTTTCTCGGATATATGAACTAGTGAAAATGAATTGTTACTGAGAATTAAACCCTAAATTTATAAAGCATTCAAAATAATAGAATTAACTAAATTAGAACGACACTCTAAATATTGATGTGATGGAGCAAAAATAAATTGATGAAACGACAATTAAGGTAAGCTAGAACAAGGTTGGAAAAGGTGGCGTACCATTAGCGAGATCAAGGAGAAAGTCCGCAGGGTTCATAGGAAAAGCCGGCGAGAAGCCAAGAGATCCAAAGTAGCTCATGGCCTCGCTCCCTTTCCCAAAATACAAGCACTTCCCATCGCTCAGCACCAGCACCGACTCGAGCATCTGGTAAACTCGGCTCGACGGCTGGTGCATGGACGTCACGATCGTCCTTCCTTTCTGAGCCAGCGACCCCAGCGTGCTGACCAGCCGGTGAGCAGCCGTAGAGTCCAAGCCTGACGTCGGCTCGTCCAGGATCAGCAAGCTGGGATTCATCAGCATCTCGTGCCCTATGCTCACTCGCTTTCTCTCTCCTCCCGACACGCCACGTATGAAGGTATTGCCGATGATGGTGTTCTCGCACTTGTGCAATCCCAGCTCGGAGATCACCGACTCGGCGGCGGAGATTTTGTCTCTTTTGGAGAGGCTTTGAGGGAGGCGGAGGAGGGAGCAGAAAACGAGGGTTTCGCGGACGGTAAGGTGAGGATAGAGAACGTCGTCCTGAGTGACGAAGCCGGTCCTACGGAGGACGGCTTTGGTGAGGCTTCGTCCGTTGGCTAATACGGTCCCATGGTGTCTCCGGGTAAGCCTGCCAGCAAGGGCGTTGAGGAGCGTGGATTTGCCGCTACCCGATGGCCCGAGAATGGCTAGGATTTCTCCCGGAGACACCATGCCTGTGATTCCATGTAGGATGGTCCGTTCTTGTGGCTCTTGTCCGGGTTGTCCCTTTTGCATGAGGCGTCCTTTTGAGAAACAGCAGCCGCCTTTGTACTGTAATTTTTTGTCTATCTTCACTCGGTAACACACGTCAAGGAACTGCATATCATCATCAAATTTAATAAATAAATTAAAACATGAAAGAAAAAAAAAAAAAAAAGAGAAGCTCGCTAGAGTCAAATTTCAAATATTGGTCAAACACAAACGATGGAGTGATGCATTGATTATTATTGGTACCTTGAGAGTGATAGGGAAGCAATTAGAAGAATTGATCATAAAGGGCGAATGATCTGACGGTAAATCTCGATTGGGAGTTTGATGTTCACCACTAGTAGTAGTATCAACCTCTGCTGCCATTATATGTGTTCTTCTTAATTGAAACTAGCTAGAATTAAGGAGAGAGAGAGACTACAAAGGAAAGTAAGATGAGGAAGAGTTGGAAGTTGATGAAATGAAAGGGAGAGAGAGAGAGAGAGAGAGGAAGAGAGCAAGAGATCAATTGAATGGAGGAGGTCGAGGGTATTTATTCATTAATTTAGGGAAGGGGGAGGGGCTCGGGTGCACTGCCACGTCAAAGTGAAATGCCCACAGCAGATGTGTTACGTGGCGGCTCCATGCACCATCTGGCAGCCTTTGGAGAAGGATTCATGGAGAAAATGTATATAGTATTCTGTAGTGTTATATGAAAATATGATGCCTCCCACTTCAAATATCTTTTTCTCTGCTCTTTGATTCAATCTTTCCATCTTTCTTTTCTTTTTCCTTCTTCTTTTTAATTTAGTACACAAGAGAGAGAGCTTTTTCCTTTTTCTTTTTAATTAAGTACATAAGAGAGAGAGAAATGGTGTTATGGGTAGCTCAGCGGTTATGCAATGAGTGATTATAGAATATTACGGTAGTATGCTACATTTTATACAAGTATTATAATATAATTGGATATTTATTAATAATATTTTTTAAAAAGAAGAAAAATAAGACATGTTATCCACCCGTATTATAATATGCATACAAGTAATAGTAACGGTAATTGCTCTCTGTCTCCTCTTCTATCTTTTCTACGTTTGTCCATTCTCTCATTCCAAAAACTTTTCTTTTTGTGTCTGGCATAGGAGAAATTATAGAATACTAATAGTAGCGGTAATTGCTCTTTGTCTTCTCTTCTATCTCTTCTACATTTGTCCATTCTCTCATTCCAAAAACTTTTCTTTTTGTGTCTTGCATAGGAGAAATTATAGAATACTGCGGTAAGCCCTACAAAGGTGTCCCTTAAATAAGCTAATTTGAGAAATCCCTCATATACATATATATATATATATATATATTCATCCTCAAATACAGATGCATGACCATATTTAAACACACTGGTCATAAGTTAGTGATGATGTGTGTATATATATGGTCCCTTTTTATTGAGGGATCCCTCAAATAATTTTATTTGAAGGACACCTTTTAGGATACCTTATGATTTTTTTTAATGATCCAAATCGTCTATTTTTCAAATCTTCATTCATAGATCATATTGCAAAAAATCTGAAAAAATTGAAAATCATTAAGGTATCCAATTGCAAGCAACAAAATAGACGAACACAGTGTTTCAAGAAAAGACTAAAATAATAATAATCTAATTGAGTGGTTAAATGGTTTCGGATTCAAGTGATTTTTTGCATAAATGATCTTTGAGTGAATATCTAAAGGTTAGATTGTTCAGATCCTTTGAAAAACAATGTGTGGTGGGCTGTATAAGGGTGTCCCTCACACATTGAGGGTTTTATGGCCCATTACATATGTATTTTAATTATGGGTTGCAATTTCGGACACAACCCGATACACGACTCGAAAACGACATGAAAAATTAGCCGGTCAACTTGCACGATTAAATTTTCAAGTCAACCCATCATGACCCGTTTAATAAACTGGTGGGTTTCGGGTCTACCAGCTAAAATATCTACATAACCCATTAAACAAAATGGGTCATGGCTGGTCAACCCTCCAATCTGTTAAAATACATATTAACCCGCTAAAATACCTATCTAACCTGCTAAAATACCCGTGTAACCCGTCAACCCACTAACCTGTTTATTAAAAAACTGTTTTCATATATTTTGTTCATCTCAATTAGATTGTTTTTAGTTGTTTTTCACGTTGTTTAAGTTTTACAAAGGTGGTATAAGTTTAAAGAAAAAAAAAAAAATAAAAAAAAAAAAAATTCGAAATGTACTGTAAAAAGTGATTCTCAAATGAGGTAGTTGAGAAATCTATAAATAGAAAGGAAGTGATATACGAACGGATGGCCATATTCTAAAACAACAGCTAGCTAGTAATGACATACTACTTTCAAAGTATAAAAACATGAAATATGAAATGGTAGGTGATTTAGAGGCAGAGCGAGAAACAGGGTGCTACACACCAAAAAGCACACCGCATGACCCGGGAGATATTCAGGCCTCTCGGGCGCGGCACCTTAATTTTACAATATGGTACACGTCATCGTCTTTTGAATATCACAATCTTTTTTCTTGCTTTTGCTGCTGCAACAAAATTTGATCAGCACACCACTTATTAGCAAGACTTTCCCTTTGAATACAATTCTCAGTGGATGCGGTTGTGGTGAGGTTTGCTCGTGGACATGTGTCGAGCGCGCGACGCTTGTGGCACGTGATAGCCCTCCCACTCACTTTCAGAACAGAAACTCAGCCTTCCAGTTTCTTTTTCTTTATTCCCCCCACCACTATCTTTTGTTTTCTTTTCCCCCTTACGTTAGGCCTTTTTATACAATGGTAAGATTTGGTACAATGGATCAAGGTGTACTTGTCCCGCTCCTATTCGACCACATGATCCAAAAACTTATTCAGTGGGGCCTTTGCAACGTCAAAGTTGACTCACTATTGATCTTTACTACTATTTCAAAAAAAGAAGAAGGCTAAAGCTTCATTTTTTAAACCAAAAATAAAAAATCAGAAATAGACATGCAATTAACTATACAAATTTAATTCATATGACATGAGTGAAACAAATAGTTATTGAAATCCAATCAAAGTAATTATGCAGTATACCTATCACTTCGGTTTAGTGAACGAACTTAATGTGATTCACTTATTTGACTAATTGCTTTTAGATAAAACTTAAAATTTGGAAAAAATCATAATTGTACATGTGAATTAGATTGGAAACACATGAAAATTGGTCAAAGCAAATGCTTGTAATATGGTCCTTACGACAATTTACATTACTAAGTGTCAGTTTGGCATTGCTTATTTGAGGTCATAAGTGATTTTTAAAAAAATTTTGGAAGCCCAGCCCGTTTAGTAAACTATGAGAAAATCACTTATTGTTAAAAAAAATTGTGAAAGAAAGCTATAAGGGAAAGCAGCTAATGAGATGCTTTCATTTTCTGATTATGCATGAATCAATTTGGAAGAGGCTCTGGGTTTAATGATTATACGGCAATCATTTTTTTATTATTCTGGAATCAATATCAACAACGCTTTTAATAAAAAGTTTACCAAACGTCAAACTACTTTCTCTCACAGCAAATCTAATAACGATTATTTTCATAGCACAACAATGTCAAACTAGCCCTAATTGACTAATTGCTTTTGGTGGAGATTTAGAGCTGCTTGAGGGCACCATAACTCAAGCCCACTTTCTTGAGCCCAATTTTGACCTCAGGGTAGGGGTATTTTGGTCATTTTCTTTTCCAAAGAGACTTTGGGGTAATGAGTGGTATTTTTAGGTAGATCGTACTGAGATGAGTTCGTAGACACGTAGTGAGTTCGAATCGGAGTTGTAACGAAGAAGTTACAATCAAAAGAAACTTAGTGGCACGATCGTAATTATTACGAAAAGAGTTTGATAAAAATCTGATTTTCTCTCTCTCTCCCCTTGTTCAAACCACCCCCCCCCCCCCCCCCCCCCCCCGACTGTAGCAGCCGTGAGTTCCACCGGCCGCCACAGCCACGTCCAGCCACTAATTAGCCAGGGACCGGTCCCAAAATGACCGGCTCGACTCTGCCGTTTTTCCCTACTTCGTCTCCAATGCCAGCAGCCAGCGACACCACCGGATTTTGCAGAAAACGGGCTGGTTTCGGGAGAAAAATTCCAGTTGCTCGTTCTCCCTCCTCCAGCCACCATTTCAGGCAAGTGAAGTATGCTTTCTCACCTATTTTTCAGGATCGAACTGATGGTTGGGTAGGATTTTATAAATTTTGAGCCTAGATAGTTCGATTTTAGAATTGAGATTCGCCCGATTTTGGAATTGCGATTCCGGCCACTTCCGGTTACATTTTGAGGTTTGTCCAAAGAACAAAAGTGACTCCAAATAGAGTGTTATACCTAGGGAAGGATTCTTGAGCCATGATTTTGAGATTTTCTGGCGAAGTGTTATCGCTTTGGACACCCACGCTCTACCGGTGAGTGTGGCGACGCATGGGCACTGTAGTAGAGGGGCATTGTGTCCCAATGAGATCTCTTTGTTGTCACGAGTGCGTAGGTGTGCTCGGATTCCAATTTGAATACGTTTGAGTGTCGAACGGATTTCACCTAGTGTGCGATTTCATGGTTCGATAGATTCGGACCGTTGGATCGAACCCGAATTCAAGTATGTTGATCTAGGAAATTCAAGGATTGCATGGGATTTGACGGATCCTTAAACGGAATCCCGGATACTCTGGAAATACCAACCCTAGGGCTACGTTTATAGTAACCGTATGATCGTGCGATTGTGAACGATCCGACCGTCCGATTTGGACCAGACTTGCAGGACGTGTATCCTATACCTTGTGGAACCCATAGGAACTTTTGGATCGTAAAACGGAGGTCGTGGGCCCGTAGGCCTGGTAGACCAAGTTTGGGTAGTTTGACCCCTCGGTGGACTGTGAGTCTTCTGAGATAGTTTCACCTTCGAGGAGTACTAGAACGACCCTACTAACGAGTCTCGACCATTATTTGAGTTATGTTGACCATGTTGGGATTTTGAGAGTGTTTTATATTATTGTATGAAAACTCTTGGATATTTTATAGATTCAATTGTTGAATTGGATGTTTTTATAGAGCTTTTGTGATATACTTTGGGTTTTGGCATAGTTGAGTATGTTGAATATGTATATATGGATTTTGAGAATGTTTACTTATGTTTGGCTATGTGTGGGGTACTTGGATTGTTGTTGTGAGGTTGTGGAAAGAAATGAGTTTAGAATGTCAGTTTGAAGTGCTATTAGCACTACCTTAGGTACCTCACCGGTTACAGAGTATAGGCTTGAGAGTTTATTGTCTACACTATGAATAGATTTTTGGAACAATTGAATTAAGGAAGGAAATAGCATTTTAAAATATTGTTATGAGGGTTACGAACTCCACCATCATACATACCTTCCCTGGTTTCTATTCACATACATGCCGTTTTTCGGGCGTGTGGGTTTTTTGGTCACGAATCCTGGAATTGTTGGATGCTTGAAAAATTGTGGATATGGTTTGGATATGTTGGCACTCGGACGCCCTTGACAGGGGTTTGTGGACCCTTGATTGGGTAGTCTGCATGCGTAGGACTGGTCACATGCATACGAGTCTTGAGGGTCTCAGCCGTACGTGCTGGCTGATAGTTCGTCCCCTAGTTGGACGGCTTGTTCCCTAGTCACATGGTTGTTGAAGACTCCTCCATGTGATCTAGCTAAACGATCCCCAGTTGGATTGTCTTTCCCCAGTACATGATGTGCATCATCATATGTACCTTCCCTTGGATACTGATACTTGAATACATGGAATTGGATACATGGATATAGATACATAGGTATGTCGGAACCCGGGCATACCTTAACGGGGTGTTACTGTAGACCCTTAATTGGGTAGTCTGCATGGGTAAGACTTGACACAGGCGTACGAGTCTTGAGGGTCTCGATTGTACTTGATGGCTAAGAGTTAGTCCCCCAGTTGGATGGCTCATTCCCTAGTCACATGGTTGTTGAGGACTCCTTCATGTGGTCTAGTCAAACGATCCCTGGATTGGATTGTTTTCCCCTGGTACATAATGATGGTGAGAGGTGGGTGTGGTTATTTGTATATAAATATATGGACACACATATTACATGGGTATATGTGGATTTCTTTCTAGATTGAGATCCATGAGGTTGTGCTTTATGATTACCCTACACTGGTATGAATGTATGAGTCCCGGTTGGGGAAGTGTTGTTGGGCAACATACGCCTTGGATAGGCTATGGTTGCGCGGAAAGAATTGATAAAAGAAAGGAAATCATAAGTGTTTAGGAGTTGCCTGGTTGAATTGGATATAAAAAGGAGTTCAAAGTCATTCGTTGGTTTTATCTTAAAAGGAAAAAGATTGGATATTATTAGAGTGGTGACTGTTGAATTTAGAACTACGTGTGGCTTGATCCCTCAGTAAGGGTACATAAGTAGCCTAGGGTCTAACCTAGGTGCAGCCGCGGACTAAATTTTACTTATATTGTTTTATTGAGTTTGGTTCTGACCTTGTCGTTGGTCCTGAAACTCGGTTGAAACCGAGGCATGATTAGATAATTGTTCATACTCCCGTTTTGGCTAAGGGAGGGTTGTGTAAATGTGTTATGGTCAAAACAGGGGTAAAACCCGTTTGGATTGTTGTACGATTTGGGCTGAGGCCTTAAGCTACTTGCGTTTGTGTTAGGATGTTAAACATCACATGATGGAAATGGGGATGTCATTCTATGTTGATTACAGTGGGCATTCATAAAATGGTTTAAAATTATTAAGTGCATTGTTTGTTGTATTATTTGACTTAAGAGCTTTGTTAATGGTTTTGCCTCGGATTATTTGAAGGCCGGAGGCCGTTTATGTGAATTGCATGTTATGATATTGTGCATGCTGCATGTTGGGTTATATTAATTGTGTTGTTAACAGGTTAAAATTCTTTGGGAAAAGTCCAATTTACAGGGGAGACTCTGCCAAAATTTTGGTAGAAAGTCTTAGTTTTAGTAAGTGGGCTTGGTATCGGGGCGATGTCGGAAATTTTCCTCAGGCTTCGTTCCGGGTTTCGAGGAATTCGGGGCGGGTTCTGTCAATCACTTGGGTGAGCAAGTGAAAAAATCTCAGCACCTGTTTTATTGAGATCGAACCAGCTTGCCCAAAATTCAAACTAAAACCTTTAAAACCCAATTTACCAAGTTAAATGAGTTATTAGAATAGACAAAACCTTTGACCTTTATGTTTGACTGGTTGGAAATTTTAAATAATCATACTAACAAAAACTGATATAAATTCAAAGAATTCAATAATACACTGTTAATATCTATCATACACAATAATTAGTACAGTAGATGTATAGGAAAAGAGTTAAGAACACCTGGCATGTGATATCAAGAGAGGGATGTAGTTGCTGTCCTAAAGCCGTAGACACCTCCCTACGTGTAGGTTATAATGGTCATCTACTCATGATGTATTGTCAAGCAATGTCCTTCCAACACCTATCATTATTAGCAACACCTGCAGTGTACTGAGATTTTGTCCCACTACCATTCTCTATCAAATTCATCTATAAAGATAAAATTATCATCCCATTAACATCTCAAAGAGCCATTGAAGATAACCAAAGCACTCCCTAAGACTACAACTATTTCAAAGTATTTTGGGACCTAGTGCTGTAGACTCAGACAAAAAATTGAAAGGGAACTCGATCCACCTCTTAGCAGTCCAACGAGCACATTACACCTCTCAACTAAAAGACTCCTACAATGTGGAAAGTTGCACATCTTCAATACAAAGCAGAATCGTTTCACTTGAATGGGCACAACCAATTATTTATGAACAATTACAACCTATCATACACCATTTCCATTCAAATAAACTATTTAGTTCATAAAAGAATTAAAATTTTCCAATAGCATATCCCTTCCAATCCTCACAAAATAAAATATGTTTTAACTCTACCTTCATTTTTTACTTTCAACACTTTGAATCTTGTGATTATCCAATCTAATCCTGTTGTTTGATTGCCAAGCCCTTCAAAAAGTTTACCTTTCAAGAAACATTCCAGCACTAAATGATATCCTCCCATAACCCCCTCACCCATAACCCCTCATTATAGCATTTTCGATATGTCTGTTTGGCTCCCTCGTCTTGGGCTAGGTTGTTTCTAGTTTTATCGGTTTCTCTTTGGGCTCTCATCTTACACCTGGTTTGTTTCCTCTACTTATGCCTTTCGGCGCCAATGACATCATATTTCGGCAAAAAATAAATAAGATTTAAAATGAAAATGGAGCAACATAGTTTTGGTATGAGTAAAGTGTATCTTGGCTAAGAAATATGTAGGGCCTCAGATTTTTTTTTGTTCTCAGCAACATGAATTTAAGAGCAGAACCGTCCTACTGTTGATCGTACGATTGTAGTGGCCCCAGTAATCCTGATAATTATGAGGATGGCCACGCGGTTGGTTTGTGGTGTAAAATAAAAATAGATTTTCTTTTGATGCACTAAAAAATAAAAAATATATTTTCTTTTGAAGCCTTTAGAAACATCAGTTTGCAAACAAAAAGTTACTGACCAAAAGGAGGGATAAAAATAGAAAAACAAAAAGTCATGGAACTCTGACATGCCTTGGATCATAAGGGAGTGCCCTCAAAAGCAAGGGTTTTCATGCCCTACCACAACCTCAACTTACAAATAAAGAACTAAAAATTAACAACCCAGTTATAACTTAAATAGTTAAAAGTGTTTATCGTTGCAGTTGATGTCTCTGTGCATCAATCAATTGCGCGAGTATAAATTTAGTTAGTATATAGTGAACGAAAACAACATTCATACTAGATTGGATTCGCTTCTGCAATCAAAATGTCTATAAATTGATCCCTATTTATTCGGTCAAAATCTAATTAAGTTCGATTCCCTCTTTTCTTATTATCATTTGTATAAAAAAATAAAATTAACATCTAAAATTTTGAGAAAAATAAACAAAGAGACAAAGGGCAGAGCACGAAGCATTTTAGGTCAACAACCTATTTGCCAGGTCCCCAATTCTCCACACACCCCCATATAACTTGTATAATAAGAGTGTCGTCTCCCAGAATAATAATTTAAATTTCACTCTGTGGACCAAAACCCTGCTGCTTCCACATGGGGTCTTGTAAATTTCACTCATACTTCCACAAACATCACATGAATTACAGCAAATAGGCATATATTTTATAGGGCACTTGGTAACACACTATGCATAAACATATAAGATCCAACTGAGCAAATCATACATTGAACAGAGAAATCCAGCACTGTTCCTTATATATATATATATTCTATTTTCAGACTTACATGCTCAAAGGACAAAGAAACTTTTACATATTTAAAAAAAAAAGGAAATTAAACTTGTAAGGATCATAAACTTATCGGGATAGGCGATTGATCAGATCATAAGAAGTTCTACTTGGCCTTGGAAGATGTATGATGGATTCAGAAACAGCACAAGTTCTCTTACAAGATGTATAAAGATTGACAAATCCGAACCTCTCACTTGAACTCCTTGAGACCTTGGCACCACTTGAAAAGCTAGCATTTGATTCTTCTTCTTCTTCTTCATCATCGTCATCATGAGCATCTTTAGAACACTCAACCAATGCAGCAAAGAAAGGATCCTTTGCGAAATCACTAGAATGTCCCTTAGGGTTTTTGTGCCTCACATTGACCCCAATGTTATCCAAGATGAACTTTTTCGAGGGCTTTTGTGTACTTGTAGTAGTAGTGGTGGGAGGAGGCAGTGGGAGACGCTTCAATGAGGAATATAATTCCTTCTTGCTGCTGTTTAGTTTCTTTGGGATTCCGGGAAAATGTTCCCAAGAAAATGGGACGCCGGAAAATCGAAGTGGAGTGGCCAGACTAAGAGGAGAAGAATCATGATGATCAGGATTACAGGATGACGATGATAAAAAAGATGAAGAACACGAGGAGAAGGATGATGAGGAGGAGGAAGAAAATGATGGTGTCCGTCGAGAAGAAAATCGATACTTGTTCATGGCTGGAAATAAAGTGTTACATTTTTTGGAGACAATTTGGTCATGGCTACCACTTAAATCAGTTGCTGAAGACTCCATATGTAGTGTTTATAGTCTTCATCTTCTCCATCTCTCTTTATATATGGTTTTACAGATCCCATTGTCCTTTGACATGATTGTAACTAAAAACAAAAAACTAAAAGATAAAAATTATAATAATGAGTTATTATTCTTATTAACTTGGAAAACGGACCCATGTCAATTGATTATTAAGACAAAGTAAGGAAAGACAAGGACTGGAAACAGGGACAGAATGGGGAATCAGAAACGGTGGTGATAAAGCCATATTTTGTGATTTCTACAGGAGTGGTTGCGAGGAATCAAGTGAACATGGTTCAAATCAAATCATTTATATGGATTAATTTATAGTTAAAGTCAGAAACTCTCATGTAACAGGAATATCACTTTTTGTAATACCGGTCAATAACGCAATGACACGTAGGATAACTTTTCCATATGTCATTGTGTCATTGACCGGAAATAGAAAAACAATGCTATCTCCATTACATGTAAATTTTTTGCTTTAAAATCCATATTTTTCATGATGGGTCCAGTTATTGATGAATGCTTGTTTCTTTCTTTTTCTTTTTCTTTTTTAGTCTTTTTCATTAGCAATTAATGGGTAACAATTGACACAACATGTATATGGAAAAGCCTTTTTCATCCACAATTAAGTAGCCTCCAATCAAGATAGCTAGTTGGAACCTTCATACATTCATATTTCTTTCTTTCATTCATTCTTTCTTTTCTTTTTCTTTGTCGAGGAAAGAAAATTGCATGATTGAAGTGATTGAGGAAATTCATCTTTCGACTTGTATATAATTACTTAATTGTTTTCCTTTCTTATAGGAGTGTAATTAATTATGTAATTTCTTGTATAGCTCTAGTTTTCAGGATCTTGATTGATAATTGGGTTTGTATATAGGGTTGTTCCAACATAGGCCCTTACAACTACTATATCATAGCCACATACCTATCATGATCTCTTAGACTACAGGGGTCCAAGAGATTTGTGGTCGCACAGTTGACTCACTCTTGCACTCCTTTTAGGAAACTTTTTTGAACCATTGAATTAATATCCAACAGTGGGTGACCACAATCTCTTGGACTCCTGTGGTCTAAGAGATCAGGACTGATACTTTTAAATCTTTACTTAAAATCCAGATTTAAAATAGTTTGCCATGTAAGATAGATTTGTCCTAGTATTATTAACTAAATTACAATACATGCCATCTGCACCTTCATATTTATTTTCAAGCATGTCATTAACAACCTTAATTATAATTAATACTCCCTATTAATACCATATCAATCACCTCATTTCTTTTGGTTGGCACTCCCTCTAACCTATCGGCAATTTCTAAAAAATTTTGAATAAAAAAAAATCCCTAAAATTACTTATTCCATAAATAATTTACCTATAAAATTAATATAAATATCGGCGCATTATTTAAACAAAAGAAAAAAAAAATGAAATTTTTGTACATTTTTCATACATTAAAATTAGGTACATAATTATAAAAATATAGATATATTATTTACAAAATAAAATAAAGGTATTATTTACCATATAAAATTTTTATTTTTATTTTTCATAAAATAGGTACGTTGTATAATTGAAATTTCTGCACAATTTTCATAAATTAAAAATGTGTACATTATTTTGAAGAAAAAAAAATAGGTTCATTACAATAGGTACATTATTAGATAAAAAAATAGGTACATTATTTAGAGAAAAAAAATATGTTCATTTAAAACAAAATTTCATAAAACAAACAATAAATAGATTATCAAATTATTTTTCATACATCAAGTAATAGGTCCATTATTTAGAGAAAAAAATAGACACAAAATTTAGAGAAAAAAAATAGGTTCATTATACTAGGTAAATTATTAGAGAAAAAAAAAGGTACATTATTTGAAAAGAGAAAATAGGTTCATCATATTAGGTAAATGATTAGATTAAAAAAAACAAAAATAGGTAGATTATTTGGGGAGAAAAAAATACGTTCATTTAGAAAAATAGGTACATTGTTTTACTAGGTACATTATTAGAGAAAAAGAAAAAGTATGCTTGTAACAACCCGATCCTAAATCAATTTTTAATTATTAATTTATTCAAGTAAAAGACGAAAATACCCCGTGAATATTTTATGAGGTTTAAAGTTGACTTTTTGACTGGGAAGGAATTTGAAAATTCTTATTGTACCGTTACGTAGAGCACGTCGAAATGAGTCAGTAGACACGTAGTGAGCTCAAATCCGAGTTGTATTGAAGAAGATACAATCAAAATACGTAGAGGGGCAAAATCGTAATTTTACAAAAGTCAGATTTTTATCTTTTCTCTCCCTCTCTCTCCCTAGTGCGACAGAAACCCCCTGCCCCATTTTTTCAGTTCAGTTCAGCCAGTTCATCGGGTTTTATTTGAAAAAATTGGGTATTTTAAATATATAAAAAATAAAGGAAAGGGTTGTAGTTGATTAAAAATGAATTTTATGGGTCTAATATCAATTTACTATTGTATTAAAAGACTAGTATCCTACTCAATAATATTCACCAATTCATTCACAGACTATTGAGTCTTTTACATGGTACCAGAGCAATAGGGCTCTTGATAACCACCATTCTTGCCATTAAACCCTAGACTTCGTCCTTCCTTCCGATAACATCCATGGGGGACGAAAACACCAAGAATCCCTCTGTGAAACTTGAGGCAACCAAATATGAGGATCCCAACCATCCTATTTATCTCAACTATTTCGATCAACCTGGAGCTGCTATTGTCTCCCAACAACTCAATAAAAATAAAAAAAACTATACCTGGAGCCGTACTATGTCCATGGCCCTCAATGCTAAAAACAAAGAGGGCTTCATTGATGGAACCATCACAAGGCCATTGATGTTATTAATTGCGAGTGGACAATATCGCTCAAATTAATATAGTAGTAAGTAGAGTATCGTTCCAATAGGGATCAAGTAATCTATTAAATACTAGAGTGATTTATTTCTAATTATATTTGAATTAAACGAAAAGAGAATTATGGTGATTAAAATCTAATTACGCATGCAAAATAAATTGAGATTAAGGAAATAATGTAAAAGATGAAAACAAAGATGATAAAGCACTAGGGCACCGATTTCACCTAGCTAATCCCACCCAAATCCTAATAGATTGTTAATCCTAATTACCTAACATGTTGATAATCATTTTCCCTTACTTCACCAATACTCTCTTCCGAGTTATATTAGTTGTATTCCTTACCATCAACCCACTCTGTTCCTAGTTATGGATTTAGATAACTAAAAACCCATTAAGATTTGTGGAAAACAATAAAGATTACTCAAACCATAGCCTAGTCTTCCGAGTTGGCTATATAATTTATGGTACTTGTTACAAGAAGCTATTAACTAGGAATCTCCTTCCGGTCTCAACCTAATTCTTCCAATCATGTAATTAATAGCCAATTAATTGAAAGCATTAAGAACGGTAACAAGCACTCAACATGTATAGATAAATAAAATTAACAATATCAAAGAATTTGAGTATTTATAGCTAGGCTACATCGTAGCCGTAGTAAAAGAAATTAGTTCATGAAGGACTTATTGAGAATCATGATAGTTGATGAAGACATGGAAGACACCGAATTCTCTAAGTAGAATGCCAAGGTTGCGCAAGCTTTCTTCGTATTCTCCTCTGGATATTTCGACTATGAGTATGAATATGTAGGATGATGGAGGATGAAGGATGACGGGTCATGGATGGATTCCTTGAATAATGACCTAAACTCCCTATTTATAATACTCCTATAAATCCTACCTATCTAAGGTATAATTACAATTGTTATAAAAGTAGGATTCCTCTTAAAATAGGGTCTTCTTTATTTTTCCTTGTTTGACTTAATAAGACTTGAAATATCTTGAACTAGGAAATTTGACAACATTCCTTGAGACAAAAGGAATGAGTTGGCTTCTTGACTTGATTTAATCCCCAATCTTCATCTTCTTACCCTTTTTAGCACACTTTCTCCTATTTCATAATTCCTTCACAAATCTCACAAAACCAATTAAACAACCAATTTAATCAAAGGAAATCAACAAATAAATAAGTAAAAAATGCATAATATATATATATATATATATATATAGGCTTATCAGCCACTCAACGCCTCTCCCACAAAGCACCAACAATGAAACTGCTACAACAAGTCTTGGCTTTTCAACTTAAATGAAATTGGTGCGAGTGTAATTTACATTGATGTTGCTTGTGAAATTTGGAATGACCTGAAGGAACACTTTTCCACAAGAACAATGTTCACCTCTTCCACATTGAGCAAGAGATACGTGGTTGTGTCCAGGGAAGTATGAACATTAGTACCTATTATACCAAGTTGAAAGGCCTCTGAGATGAGCGAGATGCACTATGTTCCATTCCAACTTGGGCATGTGGGGGTATCAAGGAAGTGTTGAAGTTTCTCATGGGACTCGATGATGCCTATGATGTCGTTCGTGGTCAAATCTTGCTTATCAATCCTCTTCTTGTTGTCACCAAGGCCTACTCACTCATTATTCAAGATAAGAAATAAAGAGCAGTCTCAAACCAAGGTTCCAAGCCCGCACTCACCGCTGTAGCAACCTTTGCAGGCAAGGATCACACACACAATTCTAGTAGGAATTTCTCACCCAAAAATCCTTATCTTAAGTGTGATTGTTACGATGCAATAAGACACACCTCCGACATACGTCAAGCACATCTCTAATGCGACTATTGTGGCTGGAAAGGCCACACCATGGACTTATGCCGTAAACTGAAGACGACAAAACTCCACAATGAAAAGCCAAATCATCAGGATCACAGGGGTTCCACTTCGAAGGCTCACCATGCCAATGCAAATCCAACAAACTTGGTGGTGCCTCATTAACCATACCAATTGACTGCCTAACAATATCAAAATGTTTTGGCTTATCTTGACAAGAACAAGCCCAGTCCCATGGTGAATCATGTTACCAGTGTATCAACAAGGAGTGGCATATCAGGTAAAGCTTTTTGTGCTTGTGCTTTCAAGGAGGAAACAAGTTGGATCTTTGATACCGAAGCTACAGATCACATGGTTTGTTTGTAGAAACTGAATATTCCATTATATTATTTGCGATATTACAACCAATATTTATACACAAGCTATAAGATATCTTCCTAGTGGTTACAATGAAACGGAAAACCCATTATATCCTAATAAAGGCTAATAACAACATAACAGCTAAAACACTAATGTATTGTCATTGAAGACCCTTAGCTATGGTAACTCCCGTAACCCCTTAACACTCCCCCGCAAACTTGACACCGAAGAGGTGACAAGTTTGGAAATAAGACGTGAAAAGAAGAAATATAATAAAGATGAGGAATGGAAACAAAATAAAATTCATCACATAGAAAGCAGAAAGGGATGCGTGCAGAGAGAAAATAAGGAACATTTGAAGGGAATAAAGGGGTTAAGAGAGGATGCAGCACAACAGCAGAGGATAGGAGGTGAAACCAACGTGGGACACAGAGAAAAGAAAACGAGAGCATGGGCAAGTTTGAATTTCAAAGCCCCATAGAAACAATAAGATATGGGGAAGAAAACCATAGGTGAACAGAGAAGTAATAAAGAATAGATTATCACAAGAGGATAGAGGCCCATATAGATTAAAATAAAGAGGGATGATTGACCCAAAAAACAATAATAAGAAATAAAGGAGGAAACCAAGTGAGACAGAGAAAGGAAAAAAGTGAGTGTGTGCAAAACACATAGAGTTAAAATCTTTCAATCAAAGATAAAAAAAAAAAAAAAAAAAGAAAGAGGAGAAAAGGTAACACCCATCAAAAGGAGAAAGTAGGCAAGAGATGGAGAGAGAACAAGAGGCAAGACACAACCCATCAAAAGGAAAGGAAACTCAAGATGGCAGAGACAACCCATGACAAGGAGAGAGACAACACAATTGAAAAGAAGAGAAAAGAATACCCCAGTAACATAAAAGAATTATAAAGAAAAGAAACAATACCCTTGTAACAGAGAAGAAGAAAGGCAGTGCAAGACAACATTGAAGAAGTTAGAGACCAACAGTAAATCCAAAGAAAGAGATTGGGCTTAAGAGGGGAGAAGAACACAGGTTGAGCATAGATAGAGCGTGAGAGGCCGATACCAAGGCAGCAACACAGTGATAGGGCTTGAGTCGCCGATACCAAGTCGGCAACACAGAGGAAGAAACAAGGGCTGTGTAAAGGGAACACCTGCAGTGTAGCACGATAGAGAAGGCTCTGCGAGCGTTGACGAGGCTCACGGAGGAAAGAGAGACGGCTTGGTGAGCAATGACATGCAGCATCAACAAACAAGGGGACAGTACGGAAATCACGATAGAGAAACCATCAGAAATACATGAGAGAGAGAAACCACGATTGCAGACTAGGATAAGGCTTGGCGAGCATTGACAAGGCTTGCGGAGGGAAGAGAGACAGCTCTGCGAGAGAGACGGCGAGAGGGACACAAAGAAGTGGACAAAGATTTCAAGGGAAAGAGAGAAACCAACAATAGAGAGATGTGGTCTCTGAGGGAAAACAGAGATATGGCCATCATGCCAAGAGACGGACATGGATAAGGAGTGAGACTAGGTATCTAAGGAGTGGAAGAGGCACTAGGTTGTGGAGGAGAGGGAAAAAAAAACATATTCATCTTTGAGAAGAGGAGAGGAAAAAGAACTATAGAAACAAATAAAATAAGGGATGAGAATCAACACAAACAATTACTAAAAGAATTAAAGGGGGGAATAGAGACAGTGGTAGGAGCAAGCTGCAGAGACAAGTGTTAGATAGGCTCCAGACAAGTGCAAATATAATCTTTTTTTTGTTTTTTTTTGTTTAAGGTCAAAATAAGAATAGAAAAATGAGAAAGAAGGAAGACTCGGATCACATGGGGAAACGAAGAGGGTTGAACGAAAAGTGAAAGGAAGTTTATTTTTATTTATTTATTTATAATTTAAAAAGAGGAGATATGGGCTTCTAATAAAAACAAATAAAAACAAAATAAAGGAAGGGAAGCATTAAGGTGAGGAGCAAGAGTGTTTGGGCGGGAGAGAGAGAGATGAAGCTTAAGGGAATGAAGGGGAAGCAAGCTGTGAAATCCCGTTTTTTAATATATATATATTGTTGGCTATTTAGTTATATGTTTAAATTGATTATATATTTATATGGGTTATAGTTAATTATATATAATTGTTTGACCACATAGTTGTTACCTTTATGATAATACTATTATAAAAATACCTATTGTTTGATATAAGTTGATGCCACGTACAAACATTTTTACCACTACTTTAGTTTCTTCACAAGTGTATACCTAGATGACTAAGCTTTCTACCTAGATGACTAAGCTTTTGTGTAAAGCATGAGCTGTTGGCATTTAAGAGAAAGTTGGATAACTTAGGAAGTGAAGTATATCACCAAACCTACTTTCTGCCAATCAAAAACCATCAATTGCCGCCTCTTGTTAGTATAAATAGAAACCATTCCTTTAACTTGTTTAAACAACTTGCATAGTAGTGCATGCAACGTGAAAGAGAGAGAGAGAGAGAGAGAGAGAGAGAGAGAGAGAGGTGATAATATTCTTGGAGGAGTTAGAGGTTGGAGCTTGTGTTTTCTTAACTTGGAGTTAGCTTTGGAAACGAGGTAGGGGTTTCTTGGGGGGCCTTTTTCAGAGATTGATTTAATTAAATTTCGTGAGCATTATATTATACATGGTACTGTTTGATTTACGTACTCTTAACTGTTTGAACAATGTGGGCATGATTATATGTACATTGGTGATATTTAAATGATTACATTGTTTTTATGAGATATGTGAACTATATAATGTCATGGAAATTATTTGGAGTTCTTGGGTTGAGAAAATAATGGTGGAAAAAGAGGGTAATGAGAATGGTCTTTTGTGTAGTTGAGTCTAACTCTTGGCAGGTACCAGGTCTCAGGGATCCCACAGTGCACATGGTTTTTATTGGGTGATTCGGGACTGGCGAAAGGGAGTTAGACAAGATGACTAACAAAAGGGGGAATTATGGATGATTAAAATGGGTGTTAGTTCATATAAATGGGCATTTGGGACCAAGTGGTATAAGCATGGTATGGGACGTGCAGGTCTGCTTGTCCAGTTATATGAATTAACGGGATTAGATGAAGAGCATTCATGCATTGTTACTAATAATGTAAAATTTGGCTGCTTGATTATTTGTCACTTAATTTAATTATATCAATTTATAGTAAAAAGGTTTATGTCCCTACTGAGCTGTGGTTTCGCTCACCCCTTAATAGATTTTGCAGGTACCGAACCTGAAATCTAGAGCTTGTGATGATTTTTGGCATGTGTATAGAATGTAACATAGCTTGTGGTTGAATAATGAGCTACTCTTTAAGTGAACTCTTGAGTAGTTCTAACTTGTAAAATAATGTAAAATTTTTATGGTTTCAAACGTTATCGTTTCCGCGTTTCTGCTGAATATTTTATGTGAAATATCTATTTTATTTATTTAAATGTCTTCTTCACATTTTAGTTATAGTTTTTATTAAATTCTATAATTAAGGTGTGAATCACGTCTTAACCCAAGGTTTTGTAAATCCGAGGGTTGGGGTGTGACACAAGCGTTCAGAGAAGAGAGAGATATTGGAAAAATGGAGGGCTCATGACACCAAAGAGAAAGAGAGGGAGTCTTGATATAACCAGAGAAAGAGAAAGAGTTCAAGAGGGAGGAGAAGATGGAGAACTATATAGAAGCAAACACCCTTTCGGGCGAGGAGAGCCAACGACTCTCAATGTTGGCAAATGAAGCATCGCTAATTGGCGTTAGCCATTAGCTCTGATATCATGTAAAAACTAAATATTCCATTATAATATTTGAGATATTACAACCAATATTTATACACAAACTATAAGATATCTTCCTAGTGGTTACAACAAAACAGAAAACCCATTATATCCTAATAAAGGCTAATAACAACATAACAGCTAAAACACTAATGTATTGTCATTGCAAGCCCTTAGCTATGGTAACTCCCGTAACCCCTTAACATTGTTTACCTAAGTTGATGACCACGAGTATTCCAGTTGTGAATCAACAAGTGCACCTTCCCAATGACACACTTACCGATGTAACACACATTGGCACCATTCGCTTATCATATGATCTTGTTCTTCACCATGTGCTTTGTGTTCCGTCTTTCCAATTAAATTTAATTTCTGTCAGCAAACTTGCTAAAACCTTCTCTTGCTTTGCCATATTCATTGATGAAATTTGTATGCTACAAGACAAGGATCGGGGAAGATGATTGGGACTGGAACTGAACGAGAAAGACTCTATTATCTTGATACTACAAAGAGAACCGGATGCAATTCAGTTTCAACAGCCATTCCTATTTCATCTCAACTTTGGCATCAACGCCTCGGTCATCTTTCCAATAAAAGCTTGTGTGCTCACCTTTCTATTAAATACATGAATTTGTGTGATATTAATGATTGCTTGATTTGTCCATTGGTGAAGCAGATGCTTATTCCATTTCCTTTGAGTTCCACAAAATACACATGTCCCCTTTGAGTCAATTCATGTTGATATTTGGGGGGCTATCATGTTCCAACGATTACCCTAGCACAATATTTCTTACCCAATATTTCTATACCTTATGAATCATAAATCAGATGCACGTCAATATCTCACCACTATCATCAATTTTGTTGAAACACAGTTCTCTTCACAAGTTAAAACCATTCACAATGACAATGGCCCAGAATTCATGATGACACAATTCTATTCTAATAAAGGGATTTTACATCAAACTAGTTGTCTCTACTCCTAAAAAAAAAATAGAGTCGTACAGAAAAAACACCAACACCTACTCAATGTAGCATGAGCCTTACTATTTCAAGCCTCATATCTCATCAATAGAACGCCCACTCATGTTCTTAAGGGTAAAACACCATATGAAACACTTTTTTATACACAACCAAGTTATGACCATTTACGAGTGTTTGGTTGTTTATGCTTTGCTTCTACGCATCCCTATCGACCAATCAAGTTTAATGCTATGGCCACCCGCTCTCATGTTATTAAGGGTAAAACACCACATGAAACACTTTTTCATACACAGCCAGTGTATGACCATTTATGAGTGTTTGGTTGTTAATGCTTTGCTTCTATGCATCCCTATCGACCAATCAAGTTTAATGCTATGGCCACCCGCTGTTTTTTTCTCGGATATCCATATGGCATGAAAGATTATTGAGTGTATGATCTCAACAGATGGAATTTTTTTAATCTCACGTGATGTTTCATTTCAGGAAACCATTTTTCCTTTTCCTTCTTGGTTGCAAACTCTTCTCGCTCCCCCAAGCCCAAGAATCCATCTCTGATGATACAATTGTTGTGCCTTCCACACCTTCAAACACTACTATACCCGAGCATTCCTCCCCTAATTTCTTTGACTTATCATCATCACTCAATGCCTCGGGTTCACCTCCTCCATCATCCATGGGTTCACCTCCCTCAATTGCATTGGTCTCTCCCTGATGGTTTAAGTGTGCGACACATGCACCTAGTTATCTTAGCTAGTATCATGTTGACAGCAAGAGTTGGCTGCCCTTAAAGCCAATGGCACATGGTCCCTTCACCCTTTACCTCATGGCAAGAAACCCGTTGTCTGTCAATAGGTCTACAAGATAAAATTGAATCATGATGGTTCCATTGAGCGTTACAAAGCTCGCTTGGTCGCTAAGTGAAATAGTTAAATTGAAGATTTAGATTATCATGGGATTTTCGCCCTCGTGGTTAAACTTGTCACCGTTCGTTTACTCCTTGCTATCGCTTGTACAAAGCATTGGCACCTTCACCAACTTAAAGTGAACAATGTTTTCCTTCATGGTGACCTTGATGAGGACGTCAACATGTCCTTATCTTCAAGTGTCAGATGAAAGGGTGAGACACAAGTATGCAAACTTCATAAATCATTGTATGGGCTCAAGCAAGCCTCGCGTCAATGGTTTATTAAGCTATCTACCACCCTTATGCAAGCTGGCTATCAACAATCCAAAGCCAATTATTTTTTATTCGTTCGAAGCCAAGGTAGAAAATTCACAGCCCTTCTTGTCTATGTAGATGATGTTATTTTGGCAGGAAACAACCTACAAGAAATTGAAGAGACCAATTCATTCCTAATGGAGAAATTCAAATTCAAGGACCTTGGTCCATTGAAATATTTTTTGGGCATAGAGGTAGCCCGTTCTAGCAAAGGAATTGTCCTCTCACAACACAAGTATGCTCTTGAAATACTTGAAGATGCTGGATATCTTGGTGTGAAGCCAGCAACCTTCCCAATGGAGCAGAATCTATCTCTCAGCAAGATGAAGGTGATTGGGTTAGTGACCCTTCTTCTTATTGAAGACTTGTTGGGCGACTAATCTATTTGACTATCATGCGACATGACTTGATGTATGCAGTCCACATTCTAAGTTCATTCATGGAATCCACAGACTCCACACTTAGAAGCAGCCTATAGTCTTGCGTTATCTCAAACACACACCAAAGCAAGGTATCTTTCTTTCTGCAAGCAACATCATTCAATTAAATGCTTTATGTGATGCAGATTGGGCTCGATGTCGTGATACCCAATGATCCACTACTCAGTAGTGTGTATTTCTTGGAAAATCATTCATCTCTTGGAGGACCAAGAAACAAACAATTGTGTCACGCTTTAGTGCAGAAGCTGAGTACCTTTATATGGCTGCAACTTCCTATGAAATCACTTGGTTAAAATCCATCTTACAAGACATAGGCATCAAGCACTTACACCAAGTCAAATTGTATTGTGATAATCAAGCTGCACTTCATATTGATTCAAATCTAGTGTTTTATGAGCGAACAAAACACATAGAGATCGATTGTCATCTCATGCGAGAAAAGGTTCAAAATGGAATGATCTAGACGGCTCATATATCTACCTCACAACAGTCGGCATACATCTTCACAAAGTCACTAGGCTACACACAGTTCACAATTTTACCTGGCAAGTTGGGAATCATCAACATACATTCCAACTTGAAGGGGAGTGTTGAGGAATCGCATCATTAAAGTGATTGAGGAAATTGATCTTCTGACTTCTGATTTAATTCCTCTCCTATAGGAGTGTAATTACATAATTTCTTGTATAGCTCTAATTTTCAAGATCATGATTGATCATTGGGTATTGTTTGGGGGGGTGGTGAAAATTCACCCAACCCGGGCACCTTTCGAAAACACGAGCGGCCGGGCTATAGTCTATTGCAGCCGGAATGGCTCGAGATTTGGAGAATAGGGGGCCGGGTATTGAATTGCTAATATGCGGTTGGGCTACGTGGCTAGGAGAATGGGCAAGACTACATGGCTGAAAGAATGGGTCGGGCAAGCGGCCGGATATAATGTGAAGAATTCCTAGCGGCTGAAGAATATCTAGGTGGCTGAGAATTCCTAGCTAGTTGTGCAATTCCTAGCGGGCGAGAATTCTTAGTGGGAAAAGAATTCCTAGCGGGCGAGAATTCCTAGGGGCAGGAGAATTCATAGTGAGCGAGAATTACTAGCGGCCAAAGAATTCCTAGCGGCTAAAGTGCTTTCTCAAAAATGCGGCCGAGGTCTTTTCTTCAAAGGCCATGGTGCCTTCTCAAAAATGCGGCCGAAGTGTTTTCTTCAAAGGCCTTGGTGCCTTCTCAAAATTGTGGTCGAGCGCTTCCCTTTACAAAAGTGGTCGGGCATATCCTTGCAAAAGTAGCCGGGCATATCCTTACAAAAATGGCCGAATGCTTCATTCTCAAAAAGTTGGGCCGGACATTCCTTGAATACCTTGGTCGGCCACTCCTCTTACAAAAAGCTGGGCTAGGGAAAATTTTCTCTTTGCTCACCTTGGTGTCCTCCTCTCAACACTTGGGCAAGTAAAGCCGAGCCAAGGGAGTTAAAGTTCGGCGGGAGGTATGTCTGTTGAATTCCCAATATTCGAATATTTGAGAACTCAAATATAGTCCGATGTAGGGCCAATCCCAACATCCAAATATTTGGAGTTCCCATACCACCCATCTTGGCGGATGGTCGACGGATGGTAAGCCAACTCTAGAATTCTAAAAACTCAAGGGGCACAAGGTTCCACCAGATGTCAAGATGAAATCTCGGAGGTCAAGGCCCAAGCCACGGATTCACGCCCAAGATTTTCAGAGGTCAATGTGCATGTGATGGAGGCCTCACAAGGAAACAAATCAAGGAGATTGATGATAGTTCAGCATACCCCAAAACAGGACAGAATCAAGCAATCATAATATTTCAACCAATATAATCCCACGAATTCAAAGGGCCTCAAAAGGAAAGATTTTTAAAAGGGTTGACATTTGGCCATTCAATGGCCAGCCCATGGGCTGACAAATGCCCTATATAAACCTCATCAGACAGACAAACTTATCTTTCGTTTCGGACTTTTCTTTTCCTAGACTTAGGATTTTACTTTTCATGCACCTAGTGTAGCGAGTTCTTCCTTTTCTTAGTGTAAGTTTAAATTCTTGTTCAATTTATATTTTCTTGTCATTTAAATTCAAGTTTATTTCAATTGCTTTACTTTTCATTGTTGTTGCACTTCAATTAAGTTTAATTTCAAGTTCATTTTACTTTATTATTCTTATCACTTTCATTTCGTTCTTGCTTTACTTATCGCTTTGATTTATTTTGTCACACTTTAATTCTTGTCTTTACGTTATGTATCTTTCGCACTTTACTTTACTCATTTGTCTTTAAATTATATTTAAGTTTAAGCATCTTTACTTTACGCACTTGTTCTTCGTTTCATTACATTTCACCTTTAATCTTTATCTCCACCCACTTCACATCATTTGGTCACTCACATAAAGCCTTGACCTCGAGGTAGTGAAAGAACCTAGGCCATGAGGAGGTTCTTTGCTCGGCCGGACAATCGTTTGATTAAAATCAGATCTTGGACACAACACATCCATCTACTCACATTCCATTCAAGCCCAAATTCGGGGCTTGGTGGTGGCACGCCTCGCACTCAAAAAAGAAGAAGGACCAAAAGTTCCTTTTGTTGGCCGCCCCGGCCGAAAGGAGGGAAATGGGTATGTATAAAAGACTAGTATCCTACTCAATAATATTCACCAATTCATTCACAGACTATTTAGTCTTTTAATTTTTTTTTAATTTAAAAACAATTGAAGAACCTGTATAGTTTCCTTAAAAGTATGGACAAGAAGCAAAAAGCAAAAGATAAATCCCTAGCCGACTAGAAGGAAAGAAAGCTTCAAATCTGAAGATGATTCCCTCGAATCCTGTTTGGTCCTTGGTGTTCTTCGGCTTATAGGAGATCTATGCCAATATGGTCTACCTTTGATATGGTCTTCCTTTAATAGATAAATTGTCTCTGCCACGAATCTGGGCTGGCTTTGGATGTGTTTCATCTTGCAAAACTGGTATTTCAGATGCTGTTGATTGGTCATTGTAGATCTATCGTTCATTCATGCATTGGGACCGTGGAGTGACTGGGTCGAGCTCTCTATGTCATTTCTCATAGGAAGATTAGCGGTGGCTGTTCTTCCTTTTGTTAGCGATGTTTTAGTTTTTTAGTCTTGGTCCAGTTTGTTCAATAAAATCCAGAAACTCTGTTGATTTTTCTCTCATAATTCTAGGAACTTGGTTGAGTTTGCTAGGTGTTCGTAGTCCCTTTAGGAGCATGTTGGTTATCAGTTGATTGTGTCCTTGATGTAGTTGAACTAGATTCGGGAAAACTATGGTGGTAGAAAGATGTTATAATAAAGTTATTTTCGAGAGTGATTCTTTCTAAATTGTTTTAGCTCTTAGACTGTATCGTCACTATGAAAGTTTTTACCTATGTTCTCATATTGCTAATGAGATTGCTTCCTTTACAGCATTTGTCCTTTGTGCTTTTTTCCCTATTGATAATAAACCCAAAAGACTATAGCACTGCCGTCCCCTTTGGGGGTTGGTGGCTTCTCGCCCCCTTTCTGTCTCCTCTCCTTTTTCTCCATCTTCCCCTCCTCTTTTCTTTCCTAGTTCTTCCCCTCCCCTTCTCTTTCCTAGTTCTTCCCCTTTCCTCTCTATAGAGGGACGACCTTTTTAAAGTCGATGTAAATTTTCTTTTAAAATTTGAAATTTTAGCATGATTTGACAATTTCTTTTAAATTTTCTTTCCCCTCCCTTCTTTCTCTTCTTCACTCGATGGCTGCACAGTGAAACCCACAACAGTTTGACTTCCTAGCAACAATCTTCGGTCCGGTTTTGTTCTTGTCAGGCAGCCCTACACTTTACCCACAATCCCTTCTCCGATTAACTACCAAATGACACCGATTCAAGCTGAAAAAATTCTGGAATAAGTAGTTAGATGCCTTTGTGAGTTGGCACTGTCGCCATTTCCGACCACCATCTTTGACCAAGTTGGGTGGGTGTTGTTCCCCATCCCCTGAGGAGTCGAACTCACTTAGTCGTTGACTCGCTATCGATAGAGAATCGTAGTCAAGAAGTTTCAAGGCCACCGAGGCTTTTCTCGCCAATCCCGCCATCACTAAAATTGGCGAGATTTGATCATTTGATGGACGATCGGACTATCACAAATTAGAGCATTTCCAGCAGTTTGCCCCTTGCCATGGCAAGGGGAGCTCTATGGCAGCTACTATTTACGTGAATAGTGGCTGGCCTAGCCCCCCCCCCAAAAGCAAAGTGTGTTTCCAGCAGTTGCCCTTTGCCATGGCAAATACTTTCATTTTTTTGTTTTTTTCACAACTTTTTTTACCTAAACAATTAATTTGGTTGGTATTTATAGAAAGAAAAAAATGTATGAGGATTTGGTGTTAAAAGTGAAAGGACTAAGTATGAAAAATGGTTTTTCGGAATAATTATTTTCGCAAGATAATTTTTTGCGGCTTTTATTCCTTACATATCAAATAAGAAAACTTGATTTTATGGGATTTTAGTATGAAGTATATATTGCCTTAATGAGCCATCATTTTTAGCCTAAATCGTATTTTGCACTAAAATTGATTTTTCATATTTTGATTTGGTGGGAATTTGATTTTCTAGTATTTTTATTTGAATCCAAATGGGGAGTACTTCCTTATTTACATTGTAAACTTAAGTAAATTGAGTAATATAAAAATAGTTTTTTGTTTTTTTTTTTTTCCATTTTTTTTCATTTTTTTATTGCACAAAAATTGTCTGCCTTTGGATTGCTTGAAAAAATCTAATTGGAGAGCCCAACGCCCGCCACATGGAAGGAGGGCATTGTAGCGGCACGTTGACGTCAGCCTTGCCCTCGGGTTGGGCCCAGGGTCTACTGGGTCACACCATTTGCCTGGTGCTTGGGCTTTGGTGGAAAAACCACTTGCCTCCCTCCCCAAACCCAACCCCCCCCCCCCCCCCCCCCCCCGAGTCCAGCCTTAGCTGCTGGAAATGCTCTTATAGATTGTTCGATCTGGAACACATTTAATTCATTTTTTTGGACTAACTTACCCTTGTTATAATGTTTTAATAGGGTTATTCGTTTTATTAGTCGCTGAACTTTGATCCGATTTGCATTTAAGTCCCTCAATTTTCAAAATTGTTCTCGTGATCCTTCAACTTTAGCTTCGTTAGGACGAATGGTCCTGCCGTCAATTTTGTTAATTTTTTCTGTTAAATACAGAGGTAAAATGATATTTTTGTATTATTTTTAATTTCCAATTTTTGAATATTCCTTTCACCCAAAAAATAAAATTAAAAATTAGAAACTAAAAATAAAAAATTCTTATTCCTATCCTCAGTCAAACTAAAAATTAGTTCTTATTCCTAAAAACTATAAATAAATAAAATCATAATTAAAAAATGAAAAATTTCCCCACTTGCCCCTTCTTTTTCCTCTTATTTCTTGGCAACCTTGTCTCCAATCCTACCGTCCCACCGTCCCACCGTGGCCACCATTTTGGCCCAGACGATTCTCCCACCAAGACCAATATTTTGCCCAGACAACTCCCCCACCACGACCACCACCCAAATCTTCCTCCTCCCCTAAACCTAAGACCACCCTCTTCCCCTCTCAACAACCCACCATCTCTCTATCTTCTCCCTAAAAATTTTCACACCTAATCACCATAGCCAACCCCTCATCTCACTGACCCAGAACAATAACTCCCCATCCCCAGCTCAGCCATTCCAATGCTCTCTCTCACTCTGCAAACATGTTCAATATTTTTTGTTGGACCTTTTATCTCCACTCAAATCCTCTATTGCTTCAACAACAACTAATAAAACAAAGCATCACCCAAATCCTCGATTGAAATCCCACCAGCCAGTGACAACCCCATTCTCCGCTGGATTCGAACCCTACCAACATCGCAACCCCAAGCTCGACCATCACCACCTTCTCCACACCCTACTTAAAATCTGGGTTGTTTGAAACCTAAAGCCCCTTCCCCAAACCCCTTTCTCTTGCACAGACCCATGAAAATTGCACCAATGGGTTGCAGGGTTGGTGGGTGCAAAGAGCTAGCAAGGGTGGATATGGTTGGGGGAGGCACAAATGGGTCTTGGGTCGCAAAGAGAGAGAGAGAGAGAGAGAGAGACACACACACACACACACAAAAACACCGAAGGGCAAGTCACACATGGAACCGGAATACATGTAAGACAAGGATAGCTTGGGTTAATTGAGAAAGCCCCATAAAGTGCCTTTTTTCTACCTCTGCGCCTTACTCTTTGCATTCAAATCTGTAGTTGGATGATTAGATGGATGCAAAAGGGCAACACAGAGGGGTTGATGTATAATCTTTGTGTTACCGAGGAGCAACAGCTTAATGACAGACTTGGAGTAGTAAAGAGAGGAGAGCGAGTTCGTGGCCTAGTAGTTCTGTTTTCTGAGGACTCATAGAACACCTTATTAATCTTAAGTCAACTGTCCTTTCAAGCAAGAGTTGTCTTAGATCAATGAATGTGTGTGTGTGTGTGTATGTGTGTGAGAGAGAGAGAGAGAGAGATGAATTTTTTTTCTATTTTTGTTTTTAAATTTTATTTATATTTTAATAAATTTAAAATAAATAAAAATAAAAAATACCATTTTACCCTTGCATTTAATAGAAATGTTAACAAAATTGACGGTAGGACTATTTGTCCTAATGAAATTGAAGTTGAAAGACTATGGGAACAATTTTGAAATTTGAGGGACTCAAATGCAAATCGGGTATAAGTTCAATGACTAATAAAACAATTAACCCTTTTGAATATTGAGCCTATAAAAAACTCTTCATAATAATAACTTTTAATAATAAAAAATCAAAGGTATTGTTGGAAAACTAAATTTTTTTCTTTCCTAATACACAAACCAAACACGAAATGGGAGATGATGGACCTTCCTAGTCCTCATTTCCCAGCATTCCCAAACATGAGAACAAACATCTTCTATTCTCATCTCCCGACACGGGAACTTCATTCCCTGGAAGTTCAATCTGTGAACCAAAAGAGCCCTAACTGATTTGAATATTATAGAATGAATCAACTAAAATTGTAAACAAATAATCAACCAAGTCAAATTTTTTTTAAATATATATTATAAAGAAACCAATATGATGAAACACGAAAACTAAGAATCCACCACTACCATTCCTAACCTTAGTTTCTAATTGTTAATTTATAGATTACCATATGAATGAGGAAGATTTCCAGACAAATGTTTGAGTTATTGCACATATGTTGTCAAGTTCTCTCAAGTACATGTCACACAGCCAGTTATTCCTAGATACTTTAGTCATCCTAGTTAAGGCATAAAATAAAATATTTAGAAATCAGGTAAGCAACCAAGAACAGGAAATTCATGTAAATCAATCACAGACTATGTCCAAGCTTTGCAATTCAATTCACAGCTCTTAATCGCGAAATACTTAAAAGAGATATGCTGCTATGTCGAACACACACATTCCATATCAAATAAAAATCACTCGCAACTCAAGTCTATGATGAAGAGCAAGAATTTTAGAATAAAAGTTCAATTAAACAGGTTATTAAGTACAAGGGAGAGGGGGGGTTTCTCACACACACTAGCAAGGTGCAATGGGAGTTTGAACTTGAGGCCAATGGTCTGCAAGTCCAAACCCTTTTCCACTGTACTAGACCCCGTTGGCGGAGATAGAGATCACATTAGATATATAGAGGATGGACTACGCTTGTAGCTGCTTTGAATATTAGTAGTAGTTATTAGGTCGTATTTTAATGAACTGGTGACCATCTGATATTGTTTCCCTTCTAAATCTTATATTTGGTTTCTTATGTCACTTCAAGTGACTGCTTCATTCGTTATTAATTAGCCAATATAGCGGCATAAATCTATAGATTTCCCTTTCCTTAATCAAGCACTAGTTCTACAATCGCACAGCATGGTGGTGTTACAGTCAAATAGAAAAAGTTCACCACCACTTGAGTCTCGCAGCCAGGTAAAACCAGGTATTTTCTAGAAATGCAAGACTATTTGGTTCCAACTTATTAACTAAACTTTATTCAGAGTGTACCTATAGAATGTCTCTCCAAGCAAATAAACTTTACTACAAATGATGGGCACGGAAATAGAAGAGCTCTAAATTTGGCAGTCCTTAGAGCATTTCTTATTTGGGCACAAAGTGAAGAAGTATGCAACAGAGAGAGCCTCCACCAACAAAAACACAAAAGAAATGAAAGGACAAAAAGAAACAAGGATAACTTCAGACAAAAATTACACCAGTAAAAGGAAACAAAAAAAACCAAAAAACCAAAAAAGGGTGTCACAAGTATAGCTTTCAGTATACCAGTAATATGTGACAGAGAAATAATGCCAGGGAATTAATCATAAAGGTAGACAGACCACCAGTCTTTATCATTATTTATTTCTGTCAAGAAAACATGATGTGTAATGAAATCTCATACTCGGTACAAACAGACAGTAAATTTTCCACCAAAAGAAACACACCAGAACTAATGGCCAACTACCCTTACCAAAAAAGGAGTAATCAAGATCTGCAGCCTAAACAACAACAGCCTTACAACCCGCATGATGCGGACATCATTAGTTAGTTTCCTAGATTCTCTAGATTTTAGTAGGATTTTATTTAAGTTTCCTAGTTTATTTGAATTAGTTCCTCGGTGGATTAGGATTCCTGTTTCAGTAAGGGATTTTTATCCTATTGTCTCTAGGTTTTAGTTTGCAATAAATACCCCCATGTAGTTCTTTAAAATTCAGTTGCTGAGATATTAAGAAAATTTTATTTTCCAGAGATTGGACTCCTTGGGGTGAAGCCAAACCCCTGGAATGATTCCAGACCTATCCTTGTTCGTTCTATTTTCTGTTTTCCATTGTTTTTGCTTCCGCTAAACTACCTAAATACTCAATTCCCCCATATCCTACATCACTGCAGAAATAGAAAAACATGGTAATGGAAACTAGGAAGAAACCCAAACCCGTAAACAGGTTTTGAGATCCTTCTAATTTTATTTTCAATCCACTACCGAAAAGAAAGCCAGCAGATTCCCACCCACCGCAAATACCTTGTGCTCATAAAAAACCGAGGTGCACGTGCTGGAATCAGGTAATGCAAATCAGCTTACCGAAAAAATATCTATTTGTTTTTGGTAAGGGTCTTATTACCTAAACAATGACCACCATAACATTTAATGTAGTAGGGCAATGAAGGAAAAAATGATCAGCTCTCTCAGCGCTACGAATGTGCTGGGAATCAGCTAAAGCAAATCAGCTTACCTAAACAATATCTACTTTTTTCTGGTAAGGGTCTTATTACCTAAACAATGACCACCATAAAACTTAATGCAGCAGGGCAATGAAGAAAAAATGATCAGCTCTCTAAACGCTTTTTCTACTCACAGTACCCCATCAGGGAGAAAGATGAACCGAAGGCTTCTCCCCTAAACCATATAATAGGTGTTGAACCTAATCCAAGCAAGAACTTGTATCATAACTCTGCAACAGAGGAATGGCAAGAGATTTCCCTAGATTTCTACAGAAACCAAAATCCCAACTTACTGGAGGAAAATAACTTACAAACAATCTAGCCATAGGTATAGGCCAAAAGTTACATAAGTGAGGGAAAGAAATACAAAAAGGCGTTTCCCAAATCACTCCCAAAAGATTGACCTTTTCCCCATTTCACACCAAAAAACGCTGGCAAGACGAGAATGAAAGGATGGATAGAACTGTCTTTCCATTGGCAACATCCCAGGCCTCTGACAAAACCATCAACGTCTAATATTTCTTGCGAGGACAGAGAAGAATCCTTGTCAAGTGAAATTTCCACAACCATTTCCCAAGTGGTACCTCATTTCTTTTAATTAAATTGCCAAACCCAAACCACCCTTTTCCTCAGATAAGGACACCATATTTCACCTGAATCAAAAGCATTATTGTAAAAATATGCATCTATCCAACTAACTCTCAGCACTCCTAACAATCTACTTCACATGCGTCCCACAGAAAAAACCCAAAAAAAATAAAAATAAAGCTTCACTGGACCCTCCATCCCAAAAATAGGGAATTGCATTTACTAAACCCTACATCACCTACAGATACTTACCCCAATATATTGGCAGACAAAAAGAAGTAGGATAATTTTCTGAGTCCAAAACAAAGTTGAAAGTGTACAAAACAGAACTTATTTAGATCAGCAAAATGTGGCCAATAATGGAGATGGTTAAACCTAGGAGCCAGTTGATGCAGAACCGTAACCCCTTACCAAGCACAAGCCAAAAAACAAAATTGCTTCAAGTAGGAAACAAAACAATGGCTAATCAGAAAAACAGAGAAATTTTACTCTTGGGCGCTCTAAGAATAATCATAAAATGAAATTGATAAAGAGCTAAAAGGACTTTGGAGTCACAGGAGCAATGCCCAACTATCAAACTAAGTGGTAAAATGAACAAATACTAGGGACAAACATATCTAGACACCACTTGTTCATGGATTCCCAATGATTACACAGACAAACCAATATGAACTAATACTATAAAACGCATACTATATATACAATTACTGAAATTTCAAACAAAGATCAGAAGGCACAGAAGTACAGGATCAGTGAAGTGAACAACAAATAACAAAGTAAATAGAGCATAACAGAATCATATGATATAAAGCTCAATTACAAGCAAATGATCATCAATTGTACAAAGCTACATTCATTCAGAAAATGTGCAGAATGCATTGCAATGAGAAGACAGAACCAGAATGCAAACACAACACACAAGAAAATGGCAAACAGTATAAATTACCAATAATCTGTAACTTTCATTCATCATGTTTTGCGAGTACAAGATGAATGAAAAACAATAATTACTAAAGAAACACTTGGAAGAAAAAACACAAGGGCATAGTTCATAAATTAAACTAGCCACAAGCAAACCTTTAATTAGAAGTTACATGACACTAGGATCTACAAACAAAAACCGATTGACATGCATAAAACAGTAACCTATAGCAACTGCTAACTGTCGAATATATAGCTATACAACATCCAGTACCTGCAATCTGCAAAACCAAATAGAATCCAAACCAACCAACCACTTACTCATTTTGAGACCAAAAGTACTTCGGGGTTCTTAGCTTTGCTTGGGGTGTTAGCGTTTGAAGACGAATTAGCAGCCGCAGTAGCCTTGGCAGACTCCCGTGCCCTCTTATCTAGCTGAATTAGGCTCTGAGTAGCTAAAATCGCCTGTGGCACCAAATCATGAGATGCCCGAGCATACAATCGCTTCACTGCAACAGAAGCCGCGTCCTTAATGTCCTGAGAATTCAATGGGGCCATCAGACAATGCCCCACTATTCGCAACGCTGGCTGCAAAAGCTCCCAAGGTAATGGAATTATTGACCCCTTTGACTCCAAAACTACACCATTGCAAACATTTTTCTCCTCAAATCTCATTAACTGATCCATTTCTTCAGTCACATCGTCAATCTCATTGCCGCTCTCCAAGAACAATGCCGGAGTAATGTCGGGCTCATTGGTATCATCGTCACCGACTTGGTGCAGACAATGGCAATCCTGGCCGGCCCAAGAAGCTAGGAATCGACAAAAGTCAATCTTGGACCAAGTGGGCATCTGGGAAATGTGCTTGTAATAGGAATCGAGGGCAACGCCGACAATGCAGGCACGTTTGGTGGACTTGACGGCGATCTGGGGCTCCAGAGGCGGCGACAAAACCCCAATTGACTGGTGGGGGGAAATGGCGGCAGCGAGGGGGTTGGGCTTGTGAACTCGAGGGGTGTGGTAGAGAGAGGGCTGAGAGAGATCTGGGATCGAAACGACAACAGGCTTGCCGTTTCGAGCCTTGGTCTCGGCGGCGTAGAGGGCGAGGAGAACAGCTTCGAAGCCGGCGAGGGAAGGAAGAGAGGGAGAGTCAGAGGAGAGAGAATGGACCCGGGAGAGGTAGAGGCCAGAGAGGACAGGGAGGAAAGAGAAAACGACGAGTCGTAGATGGGGGTCAGAGGAGAGGAAGGTGTCGTAGAGCCAGTGGCAGAGGGGGTCGGATCCTGAACCGGAGAGAGGGGACGATAGGGCGGAAGAAACGGCGTCGTAGGACTCAAGGGAGGACAGAAGGGAGAGGGCAGGGCGGTCGGAGTCGGCGAGGGAGGAGAGACAGGAGGAGAGAGAAGGGGGGAGGAGAGAGGACAAGGAGTGGATGCGAGAGCGGGCCTTGGAGATGGACTCCCACCAGGAGTGCATTGGGTCGTCGGTAGAGATGCAGTTGGAGGAGGGATTAGGGTTCGGGTTAGGGTTGGGAATGGGGATGGTGGTGGTAGTGGTGGAGGAGGCAGAGGATGTGGGGGAGGTGGTGCTGTGGTGGTTTCGGTGGAAGTCCATAACTTTGACTTGGCTTTGGGGTTGACTGTTGTGTGAATTGGGGATTGCGTAGTGAGAATGAGAGAGAGAGAGAGAGAGAGAGAGAGGATTGTGGTTTCTCGTCTCTCTATCTGTCTCTGCGAGGGAGGGAGATCACAACTCGACCGGGAGAAAGTACAAAAAGGAGGAAGAAACCGAGACTCCGCCAGATGGAGTGCATTTGAGGAGTTTTATTGTCTATTGCCAAAATGTAAAGAGTGCTGCTAAAGAAATTCTAAAATTAATGGGTTATTCGTAGTAATGGTTCCTCAACTATACCTATAGTTACAGTTTAGTCACTCAATTTAATTATTAGTTGCAAAGGTCACTCAAGTAGGTGTTTTGTTACACCATTAGTCCCTTTGTCAAACTCTATTAAATTTTCTGTCAAAAAATAAAGGTAAATTCTGAAATTCATCCACAACCCTCCCCTTCCTTCACAATCTTCCATTGCAGCAACAGTCGTGACAAAGCTCACTATCACAACACAACCCACACCCACCATTTCTCTACCCACTACATCCCCTTCAACACCGACCCTTCCTCTGCTGCCGCTGCCGACTCCGAGTCCTACTCCCTCGATGAGATTGTCTACCGATCCAACTCCGGCAGCCTCCTCGACGTCCAGCACGACATGGCTGCCCTCAAGAACTACGACGGCAAAAACTGGCGCGACCTCTTTGACTCCCGCGTCGGCAAGACCACTTGACCCTAAGGCTTCGTTGTCTTGAGAAAGAAGGAGTGGGTCTTACCCGAGATCGACAACGACGATATCGTCTCCGCCTTCGAAGGTAACTCCAAAGAAAATCCAAGGCGACTAGCAAGCAAAATGGCTCCAACCCAACAGAGAACACAGAGCAAAGCAGCCAAAGATCCAGCTTTCTTATCCAAGCAGACATAAAACAAGGCATAGATCACAGTGAAAATAAACCCAAAATTCAACAGAAAAACCATGATTGAGCCCAGCTGGGAAAGTGTACAGAGAAGGTGTGAAGTACAAAAGAACCAGCGAGGTGAAAAATATTGGCCACACAAACACAGTGTGTATCAAAATGTTAACTGGGTTGTTGTGGTATGCGCCGTAGAAGGCGAAGTGCCTTTGTAGATCAAACAAACCATTCCTCCCCATAAAATTTCTTGGAAAGAAGACAGATTTTTCAAGAAAAAGAGATAAGGAAAATCAAACAAAGTGTGTATAAGAGGATGAAGAAGTAGACAGAATTCGTAGAAAACAAGAGCCTAATATAGCACATCGAAAGCTCTAAACTTTCCTTGACTGGGTTATAGTTCCTCCATTCATCAAATACCATGAGATTGGTTTGCTGGTAAAATGTAAGACTTCATAATCCTTCCTCCATTCATTGGGTTGCTGCAATGGAGGATTGTGGAGGAAAGGGAGGGTTATGGATGAATTTTCGAATTTGCCCTCATTTTTAACGGAAAAAGTCACAGACTTGACAGAAAGACTAATGGTGCAACAAAACACCTACTTGAGTGACCTCTGCAACTAGTAATTGAATTGAGTGACCAAACTGTAACTACATGTATAATTGAGGGACCATTGTTGTGAATAACCCAAATTAATTGAGTACACTTTACTACTAAACTATTTATTAAAGAGTAATGCTATTTATGTGGCAACTGATGTGGTCATACCATGTCAATTAATGAATATTATTACGTGGATTTTATTTTATTTTATTTATTTATTTTAATAATTATTTTTTAAAAAAAAGTGAAATAAAAAAAAATGAAAAACAAAAGGTTGGACTTTTTTCGTCTCCAGCACACCCTTCTTCCTCCATTAAATTTACCTATCCCCATCAAAACCAGAGAAGAGATATAGATATACTCCAGCACTCCCTTCTTCCTCATCAAATTAACCTATCCCTTCAAAACCAGAGAAGAGATATAGATATACTAGAGAAGAGATCAAATTCAAGAAAAACAACAAAATTACAAGAAGAGAGGAACCCAATCAAAACCAGAGGATTTTGATTTTGATTTTGAATTTTGGTGTTTTGAGGGTTTTTCAAGAATCAATAATCATCATCTTCGATTATAAGTGAGCAGTGACCATAAGATCTAGAGTATTCGGAGAGCGCCAACGCGTGGGGATGTGAGTGGAAGCAGCATGGCGGAGATGGTGACGGTGGCAGTGTTGATGGGTAAGGCAGAGATGTCGGTGTCGTGGGACATAGAGAACTTCCAGATCCCCAAGGTCTGTGACACCCATGCCATCTCCCAGAATATTAGTTCTGCACTCATTAAGATGAAGAAGAAGGGAGTGCTAGAGACGAAGAGTCCAGGGATGCTAGGGTTTTTTATTTTTTGTTTTTAATAATTATTTAAAAAAAGAAAGAAATAAAAATAAAATCTACATGACAATTTCATTAATTGACGTGGGATGACCACATTAGCTGCCACATAAGGTGGTCAGCTAATGTGGTCAATTTTGTGTTTCTAAATAGCATTACTCTTTATTAAATTATTAATTTATTATAATATAAAATTACCAAAATGACTAGGGGTGTATAAAATTAGGATTCTAGAGCGTTAGGAAATATTGCAAAACCGTGCAAGGTTCAGACCATCTAGACTTGAGTTTTCCGGGAAAGAGTCGAAGGCGAGAGTTGTGAGAAGAACTTTTTGGCGCACGTAAAAATCTTTCCGAATAATATGTTTGTCGTGCCTTTTCTTAGTACATTCTTTATAAATCTTTGCAGTCTCATATGCATCATTTCGGAACTCATCCATCTCATTCAATTGCAAGGTTCTCTTTTCACCGGTAGCTTGCATGTCGAAATTAAGTGTCTTGATAGCCCAATAAACTTTATACTCAAGTTCCAGGGTAAGTGACAAGCTTTCCCAAAAATAAGTTGAAAAGGGGACATAACTACGGGTGTTTTGTATGCCGTCCCATAAGCCCATAGTGCATCATCCAATTTCAAGGACCAATATTTCCTTGAGGCAATAACTGTTCTTTCTAAGATGTGTTTTGTAATAACCCGATCCTAAATTAATATTTAATTATTAAAGTATTTAAGTAAAAGATAATTTTACTCCGAGAATATTTTAATGGGTTTAAAGTTGACTTTTTGTTCGAGAAAGAATTTAGGGATCTTAGTAGTACCGTTGCGTAGAGCTCATCGATACAAGTTTGTAGACATGCGGCAAGCACCAATTCTGAGTTATAACGAAGGAGGAAAGGTCTAGAAACGAAAAAGACGTAATGGAAATTTTTAAATGTACTATAGCAAAAAATACTGCTACAATACCGGCCTGTTTTTTAAAAATTATTCTTTTTCTTTTTTCCCCCTCTCTTCGCTCACAGCACCTCCCATTCTCCTTTGTTACTATTCATCCAAACCATTTTTGGGTCGCCACCACCATCTCCGACCACCAAAAGCGATGGGGTTGGTACCAAAAGAACCAGCACGTTGTTCTCTTCCTACCCCACCCCTTAGCCGCCTACATTGCCACTGCATTTACCGGGAAAATATCAAAAAGTCGTCGGTTTTTACCCAAAGTTTTCGACGCTCGTTTCGGCGATTCCGACCACCAAATTTATCGATCCAGGTATTTTTTTCTCATCCTTTCAATGTGACTTAGCTGATGGTTAGGTTGGGTAGGATCGATTTTCGCATTTTGGAACTTGTTTTATCTTTTAAAGTTTCAGCCAGTTTTTGGCTAAAGTTTTGAACAAGTTCTGACCACTTTTTGGCCATGATCCAAGAATAAAAATTTCTCCACTCATTATTCTGATCGTGTAAGTATAGGTCTTAACCGGCGGTTTGGAGATTTTTCGATCGCCGAAATTACTATGGACACCCACGCGCTGCTAGAACGTGTGGCGGTGCGTGGGCCACTTTGTGGCTAGTCTTTGAGTCCTAAAATGATCCCCATGTCTTCCTGAGCATGACGTTATGCTCGGATTTTAATTTGGTTACAGTTTTATTGTCAACCAGATATCGCATACTAGGCGTTATTCGGGTTTGATATATTCGGACCGTTGGATCGACTTCATTTTGAAATATGTTGATCTAGGTATCTCTAGGATTGTGTAGGAATTCGTGGATCGATAATCAGAGTCCCGAATACTCCAATTCAATAATTCAAAGTTTAGATAAACAATAACCATTCGATCGTGCGACCGTGAACTATCCAACCGTTCGATTCGAACCAAACTTCACTACAATAAAAATGTTCTACAACAACATGTCATTAACAACGTGCATAGGTTGTGCGTTGTGGAGGGTGGGCTTTCACAACGTGATGCAATAGTGTGTTGTAGTACATAGAGTTTAACAACGTGTATTTACGGCACGTTGTTGAAACGAAATTTAGAGATATTTTTGACAATGCACCTTGGAGTGTTGTTGTATATTTAGTTCCACAACACACATCACATGTTGTCAAAACTATATCACTTTCCTATAATAAAAAAAAAGGGAAAAAATTGATTTAAAAAAAAAAATCAAATTTTGGGCGGGAAAAACTCCCTCTCATTCGACCGAAAAAAAGAAACTCTCTCTCTCTCTCAAAATCTAAAATGTTCTAAATATTTGACAAGCTCTCTACATCTTCTAAAAACTCTCTCTCCATCGTCACAACCCAATCTCCAAATTTTTCTCTACTCTTAAAAATTCCATCAAAGACCCATGAAATCTAAACTCTAACCTTCCCTCAAGCCTCCATGGCAGAAGCTTGAAGCTTTCTCTCTCTCTCTCTCTCTCTCTCTCTCTCTCTCATCAGTAACTTTTAGGGCTGGGCATCTAAGGACCGCCCTCGCCGCCTACTCGATGTCACACGCCATTGCACAAATGCAGACCATTGGCTCGCTTTGATTTGGAGTTGCTCATTTTCGATATCTACAATCGGGTAATTGAGTTCCCTTTTTGTCCTTGTTACTGAAGATTAGGGATTAATTTTCATTTGGGTTATGTTTGATTTGTAGCTTATTTATATCTTCGATTTGCTTTATATGAATACTTGTCTATAACCTAAATTGTAAATTTTTACAAAGGAATTAACAGATAAAGGGTTTTGGAATGGTACAAATCTCCTAGGTTTATTTATTTATTTATTTTCTGTTCTTTGTATTTTCTATGTTTTTTTTTGTCTTGCCATTTTGTTGAATCTTGTGTGTTATTTCACCTTCAGAGGAGAGATTTATAAAGTGCTATGAGAGTCTAACTGAAGAAGAGACATGTATGTGTACATGTATACTATTTATTTTTAGAATAAGAGGAAGATGAGAAAGTACTATGAGTATTGGGTTATCTTTATCACTTCTAAACACTCCAAACTGAGCTCAATACAACTTGTCTGTCTAACTTTAGTTAAAGTTTTCTACTTGAAGAATTATACGTATTGGGTTTTCAAGTTTTCTACCTGGTATAATATTTATTGTTACTGTAATTATACATGCTTTTCTCATGAGGTCCCATTTTGGTGATGGATAGACAAGCATGAGGAGATGGAGGACTCATGAGCCAGAGTTACATCCCTACTTTGTACATGGAGATTTATGGGAGTCTTTCAAGGACTGGAGTGCGTATGGTGCATGGGTCACAAAATGGGAGTGACTCTGTTATGTACTATGTTCCTTATTTGTCTGCTATTCAGCTCTATGTAGACCCATCAAAGCCCTCCACAAGAATAAGGTCAACAATATCGTAAACACAAGACTTTCAATCAATTCAATCTATGTGATTTTTCTGCTTAAGCACTCTGGATTATAGTTTATGTTCGCAGCTGCTAACTCTGGTGCAATGTTCATTCCTTAATGTTTCTGTTCATCCTTTATTGTGTCTAGTTTATGGGTTCACATAAATGTCATTTTGTGGGGAAAATCTTGAGGAAATTTGAATTTAGTGACTGAAGCAGATGAAGCATGTTGTGCATTTTGGAGTGATTAATTTTTTCATTATCATTATTGGATTCCTTGCACTTCTATTGAGGTTGTTATATATGATCTCTTTGTTGAGTCACTCTCTGAGATTTAGTTGCCTACTTACCCTGATTACATCTGTCTATTATAATGTCCTGAAATCTTGATTGTATTTGTATGTTAAAATGTTATGTTAATGTCTTCATTTACTGGCCCTTCACTTGTAGCTTAAAAACTGTTTTGCAAAATCCACCATTTCTTTGAATGGAATGGTCAAGGGGATTGTGGATACCACTTGGTTGGTTGGGTTACAATTTGTTTTAAATGTTGCTGAATCTTGCAGTATATGGGGAAATGGAGGTGATAATAGGCAGTGGGAAAGATGTATTTTGAAATTAGGTTGTGAAGAAGAATTATGGTAGTGTAATGGGGGTTGGTCCGTTTATCAGGTGAGGCATCTTATAGGCAGTGGATGACAAGAACTTTAATATGATGCATGGTGCGGTACTTGTATATAGTGTTACTTTGTGGTAAAGTGAATGTCTTACAGTTTTTGGCATAATCTCACCTTGACTTTGCAAAATGTTGCCCAGAGTTGCATGCTAATAGCTAGTTTGTACTAGAATAGATATGTGCAGTAAAATCTCCGAAAAGAATTATATATATTCATAGCTTTTCATGGAGATACATTATAGGTTATGCAAGTATTTCTTTTGACAGTAGACTTCTTAGCAATTGGAATAATTTGTTATTATTTATTTTATTATTTTGGTTATTAGCCTTCTGGAATTTTTTACCAGATAACGACATGGGAGCAAAATCACAATCAAGTGAGTTTCCATAGGTCCACTAGTCTTGCTTGGATGCTCGATTCTTGGATCTCTTCAGGTGCTTCAAGACTTTGAAATGTAACTAATCAGTTTGCTAGACCATGCTTAACAGAATGTTGAAGTTTAATTACTCTGATGATACAATTTCCCTTCATTTCAATTTGGACAAATGTAACTTGACAATGGATTTGTTGATCTTTCTAATATGAATGGAGCTATTTTTTTCTTAATGAAAACTCTCTATTCCGGGCTATCTTATGGCTGAAAAGGAAGAAAATAGTTATATTTGGATAGATTGTATTGTTATAAAGTAATTCTAAAATAATATTAAAAGTAATAATATTTAATATCACAACGTGCAAAGAGTGTTGTTGAAATGTAAAACAACAACACGCGCATGAACGTTGCCAATCAGACATACAACAACACGCAAAACACGTTGTTGTTCTATACTTTCACAACATGCGCACGTTGCCATTACTGGTGTTTACAACACGCGATCAAATCAAGGACAACATGCAAAGCACGTCATTGAAAGCCATGGAGCTTTTAACGACATCGGCTTCAACAACGTGCGCCTTGTGTTGTCAATACGTTTTCACAACGCACAATGTGCGTTGTTAAATGAATTTTTTCTTGTAGTGCTTGCAAGACAGGTATAGTAAACCTTATTTATTTATTATTTTTATGAGTATTATTAAAGTATGACTTGGTGATTTTGGATTATTCAAATGTTTTTGAGTTATCAGGTAATTGCTTTTACTTTCTAAGGGTATTATACTATGTTTGGTTGTGTAAAGTTGGGAACGGTTTATTAACTAAATTTTGGTGTGGATGATAAACTAATTAAATTTCTTATTATATGTTTAAATTTAATACACATACTCAGTTGCTTGAAAATGATGAATCATGGACACTAATTCTTAATAGAATGTGGTATATATTTTAAATGTAGTTGAGAACTGATTTTTGGAAAGTTGATATAAGAGTTGGAAAATGGATTTGTGGAATAAGGGAAAGTTTATGATAAGTTTCGGAATATGGTTTTCAAACCCACCACGAGAGTATACCCCTCATCCACCCCAAGTTGCCTTTGAAATAGTTTTGTCATTTATGACAATGCCCCACGAGTTTCGGGGACGCTTGAACCGTGTGGTTTGGGGATGCCTGAACCGTGTGGTGCGAGGATATGCGTTCTCGGGCTGACTATATGTTCCTGAGTTTTGCGAGAATGTGCGGCTCAGGTTGACTAGGTGTTCCTTGAGTCTTGCGAGGAATGTGGCTTAGGCTGACTAAATTTCCCTTGAGTCTTGTAAGGAATTCGGCTCGTGTTTACTTTGTGTTATTGAGGCCTGCGAGGATGAGTCACATTATGTGACACAAGGAATTGACGATATAATGTGGGAAATAAATAGAAAATCATGGAATTGACGAATCACAAATGGGGGTACGCTTAGGTGGAGAGTATTTTGGTTTTAAGATGTTTAAACTAAAATTGATGATCTTACCTTGGTATTTTTAAGTAAAAGTTTTAATACCTATTTTTTGATTTTATGAGATAAGTATTGAAGGTTTCGAAGTTTTAAGGATTTTCTACAATTCATATCTATTTTCTTAAGTGATGAAGCTGTTTTTGCATGTGAAAGAGGGAAGCATATTTTATTTTAAATTGTTGGTGTTGACATTAAAGTTTCACGTGGTCAATGCTATTTTATTAATTTTATCGTTTTCCTTCTGATAAGTAATATGTTAATTATATATATATGTGTGTGTGTGTGTGTATTTATTATGCACTTGGGATAAATGGAAGATTATTCTAACATCAATAGCCCTTGATTCAATTTCAACAAATGGATTTGAATTACTGTTAAGTTGTTGAAAGAACTACGTATAGCTTGATCCCTTATTAAGGGTACGTAGGCAACCTAGAGTTACTAGGTGCAGCCACAAGATCAAGTGATTGAAAAGTTGTCCAGTTAAGTTATTTTGGAATTTGATAATGTATTCATGTTGTTCTAAGAGTTGAGATCAATTTTAGATGGCAGAATTATTTATTTGGTATAAAGAGGCTTGAGGCCATAAGGATTTGATGTTTGGAATTCTATTATTGTGCATGCTGAACAATTGTGGATATTTAAATTGCTTGTTATACATGTGAAAAAGTTTGGGAAACGAACAAATTACAAGGGAGACTCTACCGAATTTTCAGCAGAAGTCAAACCCTAAAGAAACTTTGGATTTAGTTAGAAGGGCAATTTGGTCAATTGTGCTTAACACCCGCCAGGTGTCGGACAGGCATAGAGTTCGCCGCAGATTCCAAAGTGGAATTTGGGTCCGGTCCTGTCATGTTTTAATTCTCGATTTGAAACCTCTATTTGCCCACTAGTTTGGGGATGGTAAGGAGCCTTATGTGTAATACCATATTTAGAAAGAAGTGAATTAAAAGAACGGTTACAAAAATGTGCACCTCCGTCACTAATAATGGCACGCAGAGTACCAAAACGAGTGAAAAATGTTGGACAATGTCATTTGATCTTGGTGAGAAATATTCCCGGTTCTTTGACAACGATCACAAGTTTGGACAAATGTATGAGCATCCTTGAATAAAGTTGGTCAAAAGAATCTCGATTGCAGTACCTTAGTCACGGTTTTGGTGGCTCCGAAGTGACCTCCACATGGTAGTGAATGACAATGATGAAAAATATCAACCATCTCAGACTCATTGACGCATCTTCAGAAAACTTGATCGGGGAAATGCTTCCATAAATAAGGATCATCCCAATAATAATGCTTCACTAGTGAGACCAACCTTTTTTTTGTTGTTGGAAAGTCATGTCGGGTGGAAGGACATTACTAACCAAATAGTTGACATAGTCAGCATACCAAGGAGTGATGGAAGATTGGATGGCCAAGAGTTGCTCGTCGGGAAACGTCTCGGCTATAGGTGTGGTAGCAGCTAGTTTGCCCTCGGCTCCATCTTGGATCAACCGATATAAATGATCGGCCACGACATTTTCAAACCCCTTTTTGTCTCTTATTTCCAAATCAAACTCTTGAAGTAACAATACCCATCGAATCAACCGTGGTTTGCATCTTTCTTTGATAATAAACACTTCAAAGCGGAATTATCGGTGTAAACAATTACCTTAAAACCAATGAGATAGGAACGAAACTTGTCTAAGGCATAGACAATAGCTAGTAGCTCTTTCTCGATTGTGGCACAATTCAATTGTGCATCCTTGAGAGTTTGGCTAGCGTAGGAAATCACATGAAGCAATTTGTCTTTCCTTTGGCCCAAAACAGCCCCTACGGCATAGTCACTGGCATCACACATAATTTCGAATGGTACTTCCCAATTTGGTGTGATATTTACTAGAGCGGATGTGAGTTTCTCCTTTAGAATCTTGAAAGCCTCCAAGCATTGATCATCAAAGTTGAATGTGACATCCTTGAGAGTTATTTTGCATAATGGCTTCGTAATTTTTGAAAATCCTTAATGAAATGAAGATAGAACCCGTTGTGACCATGGAAGTTTCGGTCTCCCTTCACGGATCTTGGCTTTATCAACCTCAATTCCTTTGGTTGAAATCTTGTGCCCAGGGACTATTCCTTCTCTTACCATAAAATGGGATTTTTCCCAATTCAAAACCAAGTTAGTTTCTTCGCAGTGTTGTAGAACTAATGCTAAATTTGAGAGACAAGAGTCGAATGATGACCCAACAATAGAGAAATCATCCATGAATACTTCAATAAAGCGTTCCACCATATCAGAGAATATACTCATCATGCAACATCGAAAAGTAGTAGTGGCGTTGCACAAACCTAATGACATTCTTCTATAGGAAAAGGTACCAAAGGGGCATGTGAAGGTAGTCTTTTCTTGGTCTTCGGGCTCTATTGAGATTTGATTATATCCCGAATAGTCATCTAGAAAACAATAATAGGCATGGCCAACCAACCTCTCCAACATTTGATCAATAAATAGTAAGGGGAAGTGATCCTTACGAGTTGCGGTGTTGAGCTTCCTATAATCAATGCACACATGCCAACCAGTCACGGTCCTTATAGGAATGAGCTCATTGTTGTCATTCTTTACTATCGTGACTCCTCCTTTTTTCAGCACTACCTGGACTGGGCTTACCTAATTACTATAAGAAATTGGATAAATAATTCCGGCATCTAGAAGCTTGAGAACTTTGGCACGAACAACTTCCTTAATATTTGGATTTAGCCTTCTTTGATTTTCTATCATCGGCTTGAAATTTTCCTCCAATAAAATTCTATGCATGCATGTAGAAGGACTAATTCCTTTAATATCCACAATAGTCCACCCAATAGCTGTTATATGCTTTTTTAGAATTTGTAGTAATTTTTCTTCCTCCTCTTCAAGTAAATCAGAGTTAATAATGACGGGGAGAGTTTGAGATGTACCAAGATAGGCATACTTTAAATGTGAGGGTAGTGGCTTGAAGGTGAGGGTTGGTGCGACAACGGTGATTGGGATGGGATTGGTGGCAACGACACCAAGTGGATCAAATTCTTGGTGGAAGGGTGGTTTGTACGATAGTGTAGCTTCCAGCAAGTTCACTATTTCAAGCATGCGTGGCTCCTCGTCTACAATCTCCATCTCATGGACCAAACTTACTTCTAATGGATCTTTTGGGTACTCCGCTTCGAATTGTCATCGAACAACATGATCTATTGCCCCTATTGCTAAAAGAATGGGGTATTTGGTTGCGTCAAGAACCTTTTTCTCCGTCAATTAATGCCTTTGTCTATTGCTAAAAGAATTGGTTTGGGAAAAATTAAGAAAACTACTATTTCTTTGCAAATGGCGGATAGATCACTTACATATCCTCACGAAATTCTTCAAGATGTGCTAGTGAAGGTGGATAAATTCATACTTCCAGTTGACTTCATATTCTTGGATATGGAAGAAGATGTCCACATTCCAATTATTTTAGGCCGCCCATTCCTCATTACTGGAAGAACATTATCTAATGCCAATGGTGCAAGGAATAGAAAAACTCCCTGGATCCTTTTGCTTAGGTGATAGTTGCCTTTGTATTGTTGCACTCTACTCCTCCATAAATTTCACCGTCTTTGTATCATCCAAACGTCTCTTTTTGCTTAAGATGTCCTTGAGGAACTTTCCATAGCTCAGCATTTGGTCTAGTGCTTCACCAAATGGAATGGTAACTTGCAATTTCTTAAAAATTTCAATAAATTTGGAGAACTGTGCATCCTTCTTATTTTTCTTCAGGCGGTGTAGAAAAGGAATTTGTGGAACATAGGATTTTGGGATGAGATTTGAAAATGCTTGCTCATTGGTCTTAGAAGAAAAATTTATTGTCATTATTGCCGAATTTTCGATGGAGCTTATGGTAGTGGGTAGGCTATTGTCTTAAGCTCTTTCTATTTCTCTCAACTGTTGGTGGTGATTTTCTAAGTCCAAATCTATAGCGATTTTGATGGGTCTCCCATTTCGAAGTGTAATTGCCTTCTCATGCTCTTGATTTTTCGGATTAACCTCGGATTGGATGGGCAAAATTCCTCTCTCTCTCTCTCTCTCTGTCTTACAGTGAGTGCATTCGCCAATTGATCCATTTGAACTTCTAAATTTCTAATGGAAGCAATTTGATTATCTTTCATTTTTAAATGTAAAAAAGAAAAAGAAAAAGGGTTTTATCAGCTCTAGCAGATAATCCCTCAATGGTCAGTTCTTCAGACAATTATTTCCCTGTTTTTTATTTATAAACGAACCTAACCTCTCTTTAATTCCAACTGCCCCCTGTGAGAGCTCAAACTGTGATGGTTAATTTGATTTTCCAGTTTGAACAACTCCCTGTTTCCTGCTTATCTTTTTGGAAAACACAGTATGCATATCCTTTGAAAGATGGTGCCTTCTTTGGAGTAGAAACAATATCTCTGAATATATAAAAGATATTTTGATCTTCTGGTGGCAGAGATTCAGAGATGTCCCTTCTTTTCGCCTGCCTTTGTCAACCCCTTGTCAACCCAGTTGAAATTGTTGACTTTTCTAAGTCATGGAGAAAAAAGATCCATGTGGGTCTATTTCCTTTTGGGTTTCTTCTTCTCTTTTAGTCATGCCAATCCCTTTTTGATTTTTCTAGAACTATGGGCTGATTTCTTTTTCTTCTTTTTGAAGCCCAAGTTTTTTGATAGATCCTGGGTTGGGCTTTCTAAATTTTGGGCCCTTGATTCTTCTAATTGCAAAGTCTAGTACTGCTTAGGCCCTGTAGTTCGTTTTGTATCTCTGGGCTTTTAGTGTTAGGCTGGGTGTGCAGAATTTTGGCCCAGCAATGCCCCCTTGAATCTGAATCGTTTTTGAAAAACATTTCTTTTTTTCAACTTTCAACAGTTCAAATTGAATCAATTGGCCATTAATGTTGCGCGCCACTCTCTTCTGTTTCGATTAACCCACGTGTGCCATGTCTTATCTCTTGAGCTAGACTTCGTGGGAAACTGGGTAGTTACTAGCTAGTTATTAGCTAGCCATCATTCGATGATGCCTCATCTTCTCCACGATTTCGAGCTCTTTTAAAGAAGTTTTTAAAACCCAACAGTTTTTGTTCATTCGAAAAACCTAACCCTTTCAAACTTTGTTTCTTTCTAGATTTTCTCAGAATCTTTTGCTCTTCTCAGACTTTTGATTTTTCTGAATTATTTCCTCTGTTCTTAGCTTAACTCTTGAAAATGTCATCTCCAAAAACCTGTGCCAAGTCTTCCTCTTCTGTTCCTCATGCCTACATTACTGGGGCTGGTGTTGATAAGCACGCCATTGAGGTTCGGAGCAAGCTTCATCCTTTTGCCTAGAAAACCGAGACGAAAATGTCCTACAGTTGTTTGAGAATACCCTAGTTCTAGGTCCCCACTAGGTTGGCCATGTCCCTGTTGAAATGGCAGAGCTGTTTGAAAAAGATGCTGAAGCTCCTTTGTGTTTCCATACGCCTCTGCCCTGGCTTCTCATTCTTGGGTCAACAAGAATTTGAGTCGTTCGTTCCCATCTAGTGAGGTGAGGAACAATCTAGGCAAGTGGAGCTCACTGGAAGAGGGTTGGAATCTATGACGCCATTCTCCTGTCCAAGCAATCCATCAACAGGGATGAGAACCTGCTTGTCGCTGCCCTTTGTTTATGGAATTCTGCCAGGAATACCTTTGATTTTGGTGTGGGCCTGATGACACCAACCTTGCTGGATATGGCTTGTTGATGTTGGAAGGCTTGTTGATGCTGTTGGTGACTATCATCGAAGAAAGAACCAAGAAAAACTGTCCAAGCCGTTCACTATCTCTCCAGCCACAATCAACCAGAACTGTTCTTTCTCTAATTATTTGAGGAAGTTCAGTGCTGAGAAGGACAAGGATCAGCAACACATGTTGTTCCTTCTGTACTGGCTGAACAGATTCGTCTTCTCCAACCGTTCCTCGGCAGTTCTGCTTGAGTACTAGCACCTGGCAGAAGCCCTGCACAACCACACTGACGTTGGGCTTGGGCATACAGTTCCGGCTCATATGTTCAAGAACCTGAACACTGCCACCCTGGAGAATCCACTGAACCTGTCTGCTCTCGGCACATTTTGGATGATCCAGATCTGGATGCAGGTTTACTTCCCAGAATTGAGGTTCCCAGATATAGTTCTGCCTAAGGATCAAGTCCTGGCTCTCCCTCTGATGTCGGCAGAAGTGCCCAAATTTTCAATCAAGGAGTACTTGATGTTCTTTAGGCACAGCACCAAGAGGTCTGCTGCTCAATGGCATGTGGTGCTCAAAAGAACTTATCCCTAGTTTTAGCCTGGATACTGGCTATTTGAGAGGGAGCCAGAAGAGGAATATGCCAGAACAGACTTCAGGAAGAAATTCCTGAGTGTTACCCTATCAAGAGATCTGCCCCATTGAGGTGGAAAGCCTCCAAATTATCATTTGGGGCCAGAACTCTATCATCCCAACTTCTGCGCAAGACAACTTGGCTGCCCTCAGCTCATTCCGCTCAAATCCTACAGGAGATGCAATAAGGCTACTTCCTGCAGAGATGCAGATGATCTGGAAGTGCACAAGGATGCTAGATGCGTGTCGAATAAGATAAAGAATAGCGCAGATCCTCTCTATCCAGCATGGGAACTGAATTCCTGTAGTTCTACTGAGTTTGACGCTTGGTGGAAAGCTAGATTCCAAGGCCTGGTTGCCGCCAGTCCTACACTAAAAATCCTTTTTGATGGCAGGGATTCCTAGGTTGTTCATGCAGGAGAGGAGACTCACAACATAATATGGTGGGAGGAGTCATTTGGTTGGTTTTGAGTCAAATGCAATGGCTAAAACTATGGAATACACCAACCACTCCATTTCAGAACGAACTTCCTACGAACCTGAATAGTCCGATTTCATGGACCAATCGATATCGGATTGAGTCCAAAACTTGGGGAACAACATAATATGGTGGGAGGAGTCATTTGGTTGGTTTTGAGTGAAATCCAATGGCTAAAACTATGCAATACACCAACCACTCCATTTCAGAACGAACTTCCTACGAACCTGAATAGTCCGATTTCATGGACCAATCGATATCGGATTGAGTCCAAAACTTGGGGAACAACATAATATGGTGGGAGGAGTAATTTGGTTGGTTTTGAGTGAAATCCAATGGCTAAAACTATGCAATACACCAACCACTCCATTTCAGAACGAACTTCCTACGAACCTGAATAGTCCGATTTCATGGACCAATCGATATCGGATTGAGTCCAAAACTTGGGGAACAACATAATATGGTGGGAGGAGTCATTTGGTTGGTTTTGAGTGAAATCCAATGGCTAAAACTATGCAATACAACAACCACTCCATTTCAGAACGAACTTCCTACGAACCTGAATAGTCCGATTTCAGGGACCAATCGATATCGGATTGAGTCCAAAACTTGGGGAACAACATAATATGGTGGGAGGAGTCATTTGGTTGGTTTTGAGTCAAATGCAATGGCTAAAACTATGGAATACACCAACCACTCCATTTCAGAACGAACTTCCTACGAACCTGAATAGTCCGATTTCATGGACCAATCGATATCGGATTGAGTCCAAAACTTGGGAAACAACATAATATGGTGGGAGGAGTGATTTGGTTGGTTTTGAGTGAAATCCAATGGCTAAAACTATGCAATACACCAACCACTCCATTTCAGAACGAACTTCCTACGAACCTGAATAGTCCGATTTCATGGACCAATCGATATCGGATTGAGTCCAAAACTTGGGGAACAACATAATATGGTGGGAGGAGTGATTTGGTTGGTTTTGAGTGAAATCCAATGGCTAAAACTATGCAATACACCAACCACACCATTTCAGAACGAACTTCCTACGAACCTGAATAGTCCGATTTCATGGACCAATCGATATCGGATTGAGTCCAAAACTTGGGGAACAACATAATATGGTGGGAGGAGTGATTTGGTTGGTTTTGAGTGAAATCCAATGGCTAAAACTATGCAATACACCAACCACTCCATTTCAGAACGAACTTCCTACAAACCTGAATAGTCCGATTTCATGGACCAATCGATATCGGATTGAGTCCAAAACTTGGGGAACAACATAATATGGTGGGAGGAGTGATTTGGTTGGTTTTGAGTGAAATCCAATGGCTAAAACTATGCAATACACCAACCACACCATTTCAGAACGAACTTCCTACGAACCTGAATAGTCCGATTTCATGGACCAATCGATATCGGATTGAGTCCAAAACTTGGGGAACAACATAATATGGTGGGAGGAGTGATTTGGTTGGTTTTGAGTGAAATCCAATGGCTAAAACTATGCAATACACCAACCACTCCATTTCAGAACGAACTTCCTACGAACCTGAATAGTCCGATTTCATGGACCAATCGATATCGGATTGAGTCCAAAACTTGGGGAACAACATAATATGGTGGGAGGAGTGATTTGGTTGGTTTTGAGTGAAATCCAATGGCTTAAACTATGCAATACACCAACCACACCATTTCAGAACGAACTTCCTACGAACCTGAATAGTCCGATTTCATGGACCAATCGATATCGGATTGAGTCCAAAACTTGGGGAACAACATAATTTGGTGGGAGGAGTGATTTGGTTGGTTTTGAGTGAAATCCAATGGCTAAAACTATGCAATACACCAACCACTCCATTTCAGAACGAACTTCCTACGAACCTGAATAGTCCGATTTCATGGACCAATCGATATCGGATTGAGTCCAAAACTTGGGGAACAACATAATATGGTGGGAGGAGTGATTTGGTTGGTTTTGAGTGAAATCCAATGGCTAAAACTATGCAATACACCAACCACTCCATTTCAGAACGAACTCCCTACGAACCTGAATAGTCCGATTTCATGGACCAATCGATATCGGATTGAGTCCAAAACTTGGGGAACAACATAATATGGTGGGAGGAGTCATTTGGTTGGTTTTGAGTCAAATCCAATGGCTAAAACTATGGAATACACCAACCACTCCATTTTCAGAACGAACTTCCTACGAACCTGAATAGTCCGATTTCATGGACCAATCGATATCGGATTGAGTCCAAAACTTGGGGAACAACATAATATGGTGGGAGGAGTGATTTGGTTGGTTTTGAGTGAAATCCAATGGCTAAAACTATGCAACACACCAACCCCTCCATTTCAGAACGAACTTCCTACGAACCTGAATAGTCCGATTTCATGGACCAATCGATATCGGATTGAGTCCAAAACTTGGGGAACAACATAATATGGTGGGAGGAGTCATTTGGTTGGTTTTGAGTGAAATCCAATGGCTAAAACTATGCAATACACCAACCACACCATTTCAGAACGAACTTCCTACGAACCTGAATAGTCCGATTTCATGGACCAATCGATATCGGATTGAGTCCAAAACTTGGGGAACAACATAATATGGTGGGAGGAGTGATTTGGTTGGTTTTGAGTGAAATCCAATGGCTAAAACTATGCAATACACCAACCACTCCATTTCAGAACGAACTTCCTACGAACCTGAATAGTCCGATTTCATGGACCAATCGATATCGGATTGAGTCCAAAACTTGGGGAACAACATAATATGGTGGGAGGAGTCATTTGGTTGGTTTTGAGTCAAATGCAATGGCTAAAACTATGGAATACACCAACCACTCCATTTCAGAACGAACTTCCTACGAACCTGAATAGTCCGATTTCATGGACCAATCGATATCGGATTGAGTCCAAAACTTGGGGAACAACATAATATGGTGGGAGGAGTGATTTGGTTGGTTTTGAGTGAAATCCAATGGCTAAAACTATGCAACACACCAACCACTCCATTTCAGAACGAACTTCCTACGAACCTGAATAGTCCGATTTCATGGACCAATCGATATCGGATTGAGTCCAAAACTTGGGGAACAACATAATATGGTGGGAGGAGTCATTTGGTTGGTTTTGAGTCAAATGCAATGGCTAAAACTATGGAATACACCAACCACTCCATTTCAGAACGAACTTCCTACGAACCTGAATAGTCCGATTTCATGGACCAATCGATATCGGATTGAGTCCAAAACTTGGGGAACAACATAATATGGTGGGAGGAGTGATTTGGTTGGTTTTGAGTGAAATCCAATGGCTAAAACTATGCAATACACCAACCACTCCATTTCAGAACGAACTTCCTACGAACCTGAATAGTCCGATTTCATGGACCAATCGATATCGGATTGAGTCCAAAACTTGGGGAACAACATAATATGGTGGGAGGAGTGATTTGGTTGGTTTTGAGTGAAATCCAATGGCTAAAACTATGCATACACCAACCACTCCATTTCAGAACGAACTTCCTACGAACCTGAATAGTCCGATTTCATGGACCAATCGATATCGGATTGAGTCCAAAACTTGGGGAACAACATAATATGGTGGGAGGAGTGATTTGGTTGGTTTTGAGTGAAATCCAATGGCTAAAACTATGCAATACACCAACCACTCCATTTCAGAACGAACTTCCTACGAACCTGAATAGTCCGATTTCATGGACCAATCGATATCGGATTGAGTCCAAAACTTGGGGAACAACATAATATGGTGGGAGGAGTGATTTGGTTGGTTTTGAGTGAAATCCAATGGCTAAAACTATGCAATACACCAACCACTCCATTTCAGAACGAACTTCCTACGAACCTGAATAGTCCGATTTCATGGACCAATCGATATCGGATTGAGTCCAAAACTTGGGGAACAACATAATATGGTGGGAGGAGTCATTTGGTTGGTTTTGAGTCAAATGCAATGGCTAAAACTATGGAATACACCAACCACTCCATTTCAGAACGAACTTCCTACGAACCTGAATAGTCCGATTTCATGGACCAATCGATATCGGATTGAGTCCAAAACTTGGGGAACAACATAATATGGTGGGAGGAGTGATTTGGTTGGTTTTGAGTGAAATCCAATGGCTAAAACTATGCAATACACCAACCACTCCATTTCAGAACGAACTTCCTACGAACCTGAATAGTCCGATTTCATGGACCAATCGATATCGGATTGAGTCCAAAACTTGGGGAACAACATAATATGGTGGGAGGAGTGATTTGGTTGGTTTTGAGTGAAATCCAATGGCTAAAACTATGCAATACACCAACCACTCCATTTCAGAACGAACTTCCTACGAACCTGAATAGTCCGATTTCATGGACCAATCGATATCGGATTGAGTCCAAAACTTGGGGAACAACATAATATGGTGGGAGGAGTGATTTGGTTGGTTTTGAGTGAAATC